CCGTAGTTAAGTGCCGCAGGCACCGCAGCCTTTGCAAACCTACCCGTGAGAGCCCCTGCCTTACGAACCCGACGCAGTCTGGGATATCGAGCCCCCATCTTACGCACACGAGCACGAAGCCTCTGAAAACGTAATGCTCGCCCTGAGGTAGCCTCTATGCCCAGCACTTCAAGGGCCGACACATATCTATATCCAAACTTGCCTAGAGCACGACAAACTCGTTGGGCAATAGTGGGGTGAGCGCAAGTCACGGTCATCTTGCGCTTGGCGGGCGCCAAATCAACAAAGCCGAGTACGTCCACCAACCCTTCCAACACATAACATGCGTGCTTGAATATACAGTCTACCTTAGCTTGTATCTGCACCGTCAGGTCGTCTGCGTACACGTGCAGCGCGCGATCAATATGCTCCGTGCTCCCATACAACGCATCAACAGGCGATAACAGAACCAGCTGTAATATGAACATAGCCATGCTACATCCTGGAAGCACTCCCCGAGACGCATACACAGGCTCCGAGAAAGCCCCATCCCAGGCTAGTCGTCGCTCGTACGTGTACATGCGTAAGGCTAGGGCCACCAGGGGCCCTGGGAAACCGTGCTTGATGGCAGCCTGAGTGATAACGGCCCAGGGAACCCTGTCAAAACACTTCCCAATGTCAACAATGGCGTGTAAGCATACAGTGTCGTCCCACTGCGCCTTCTTCTGCGGTGGGTGAGCTTCCCCATGCAACAGCGCGCGTGCGGCAACGTCCGTGGTCGCCCTGCCCGTGCCGAGCGCAATATATGGTCGTCCTAACCCATTGGCCCATCTTCGTACATGTCCAATGCGAGCCTTGGCCCACACTCGATATAAAGAACACAACAGAGCGATAGGCCGATATCCCCCAGCAGGTATACGAAGCAACACAATATGTATATGCTGGAGATACCGAGGCCAGGAAGACCATGCCTCGCATAAATGAAACATATATCCCAAGAATGATAAAGCCCCATTCGATACCAGGGCCCAGTGCTTGGGCCTCCATAAGTCAGCACCTACAGCAGTCCTGGCAGGAAAGGCCTTGGCGGCTTTACGTATCTCCTGGATGCCCATGGGTGGAAGACGAGGACCCAAATCACGAAGCTGCGCCAAATCATGCTGCAGCTCTTCCAGTGAGGCTGGCGAAGACCCACCGTCCCATATGCCTTCCCAAAATTCACGCTGAACGTTGGCCACATCGTCCGCATGACTCGAAGGACCCAGGGGAGTGTGAACCTGGGACAACTGCCACCCTCTCGGTTTCGTCCAGCCATGCACAGGCTTCGAGCGGCTGCTCAAGCAATCCCTGAGCCATTTAACAAACCCTTGACCTCGTGCCCGGCCAAGCCGCCGCTCTTCAGCAGCAGCAAGATTGGACAGGGTGACGCAGAGGGTGCGGAGGAAGGTCACGTGGTACGTGGACGGCTGCGCGAAGAAGCACGTGATGTAGTAGACTACCTCCTGGACCAAATTGGCGCCAAGCGCAGATGCAAGTCGCCGTAGTCGACCCTGACCACCAACGAAGTCAATAAGTGGTTGCCATATTATGTTATGCTGCGGCAAAGGAGTGCACCCATGCTTGGCCACCACGTGCGTGAGGTCTTCCAGTCGATGTTGAAGAGCCCGAACTGCACGATAATGCGTAGTACCTGCAGGTTGCTGACTGCCCAGAGCACCTCCTGCCGTGGTCTTGCGATAAGTTACCTGACCTCCGCGACCATGATACTTGTCGTCGTCTGAGCAGTCAAACAGCGGAGCTAACTCCTTCTCGACCCCTGCGTACAACTGTTGGCATAAGAAATCTAAACGCCCTCCTCTCGACCTGTTGTCACCAGGCCCGAGTTGAGCATCCTGCCGCATCCTTTCCACCCAATCAATGCCAGAGTCACCCAGGTGGGTAGCGTCTTCATCTTCATCGTCCGAGTATTCAGAAAGAATTGGCTTGCGAGCTGGCTTACCAGGCCAAATACGCGGGCCCTGCAGCTGCACTAGTTGGCGAGCTCGAGGCCGAGGGCCTACTTGAACTCGCGTCGGAAAATGAGGGCGAGGCGGATAATCTTCCACGCGTCGAGCGTCTGACATCTCCGCCGCAAGGGCATCGCTGGCGAGCCAGTAGTCCAGAAAAGTATACGTGCCATTTTCCGCCACGCGGTGAGATCCAAGCGGAGCAACAATGAGGTGGCCGTCAATTCGTTCCACAAACGCACTGTCGCTCAGCACCTGGGGGGAAACGTTCCAATCCCCACCAATGACGTATGGAGCACGATAATATCTTAGCGCCTTGCCCAGCTGCTCGAGCCGAGGTATGTTGTCACCCGTGAGTCCAGGACCTTGCTCAAGATAGATGCTACCTGCCACGAACCCTCCTCGAGGACCCCTGTGAACGTACACTGCCACGCACCACGACTTTACGAGTGCATGATCCCGTACTCCAGGAAGGGCGTCCAAGAAAGTCGTGCCAACATGGTGTCGTACAAACAAGCCCACTCCAGCCATCGGCTGACCCGTAGGGCCAGTCTTACAATCACTGATGAAAGCCTTCCACCCGTTACGTTGGCACCATTCTTCTGCCTGTAGCCGCTGGTCCCCTCGAACACGAAGCTCCTGAGATGCAACAATGAGAGCTCCAGCGGCTCCTTCTTCAAGAAAACCTCTGAGACGTGTCCAGCCGTTGGCGTTGTAAGTCACGAATGCCAGCGGCTTCCTTTTGCTTCTTCTGGGCGCGCGTCTGGCAGATGTTGTGACACGATGTCGATCACCTGCAGGACCTGATAGCCTCGTACCGCCCCCAGAATCAGCCGTACGATATGCCGTTTGATCTGCCTGTGGATGAGATAGCCTCTCGCCCCTCCCTCCACTGGGAGCAGTAGTAGTAGTGTCAGTAGCATCAGCTCGCTGGCCTCCCGAAGGCCGGTACGACCCGCTCCCAAGCGCCCCCCGAGGCGTGAACGTCGTGCCGTGCGTGCCGACAGGAGTAAGTCCCGAAGGTCGGTACGACGCGCCGCCAATTGCCCCAGAGAGCTGAGGAGTCGAGCCGTGCGTGCCGACGGGAGTGGGTGCCACCACAGGTAGTTCAGACAAAGGCAGGTCGTCCAATGACCAAACCCGATTGTTGACCTGTCGTGGCATCGTGATGTATACAAAGGAAAGAGCTGCCTTATTCGCTGTCTTCGTCTTCCATCTCGGCCTCTGCGTCGACGGCGTCTTGGGCCTCCTGCATCTCAAGGAGGGGTGCCCATGGGTGTGCCTGCGGAGTGCCTGGGGCTGGAACGCTGGCTTGGACTGCAGACTGCAACTGTGCAAGCTGATCCTGAAGTGTCTGAAGCATCGTTGGAGAATTTCCTGCAAGTATCGCAGCTGAAGCCCCTGCCACCACCGTCTGTAGACGACCCATGGCTTCCTGCACCGACGGTATATCTGATCCCACGGGCTGGGCGGTGGCGGCGAGTACGGCAGTCCTGGCCAGGTGCACCTCAGACTGGATGTTCTGCAGCTCCGTGTTGGCCTGAACAAGCGCCGACTTTTTGTCACCAAGCTTGATCTCCAACTCAGCCACTGCTTGGTTAAGCTCCTCGACCTCTTTGGATTTGGCGGTGTGCCTGTCCAAGGATCTACGAAGCATGTCATCTGGTGTCCGATGAGCTTGTTCGCGCTCCTCGGCCAATTGCAAATCACGTCGAGCTTGCTGTACGACTGGGGCATCATCTCCCAGGCCACACTTCCGTAGGGCTGCCAACGCTCGGCGTGCCTGAGCGACTCCATCAGCAGGACTGGATGCTCCACTGCTGTCGCCGTCAGGCTTCTTATCCTTGTCCTTTCCTCCCTCACGTGGACGAGAGGATGGTCTCCGTGATGGCGGTCGCTTCCGTGGCACAAAACTTGGATCAGGTACACCACGACGGTCGCGACCACACTGATAGCAATTCTCGTTGCTGGCGTAGTTGCCCTCGAAGCCGCACTGACGTGTCGCCATGCACGCCCATCTCGGCTCCTTCTGGACTTCTGGTCTTCTACCTCGTCGGGCGCCATTCCCTTCAGCGGCGGGGGGGGCACTTCTCATGTGAGGCTCTTGAGACCCGTGATGTCGATTGAGTAGTTCCCGCAGCTTGACAATCTTCAGAAATCGCCTGGCCTGCGCGCGAGCACGACGGCGGGCTCTATGCCAGGCGGGTGAGCGAGATCGCCCTGCAGGTATATTGAATATCGACTCGTGCGTGGGCGCGCACGAGCCTGGGGCGGGCAGTGCAGTGATGCAGTGCAAAAACGCACCGCGGGGAAATGTCTCCCACGGCCTAAGCCCACGCCTGGAGGAGGAGGAGGAGGAGGAGGAGGAGGGGGAGGAGGAGGAGGAAGAGGAGGAGGAGGAGGAGGAGGAGGAGGAGGAGGTCGACGCATTCGGCACAGCGAGGCCCGTCACAGCGGCCCTGCGGACTGCGCGCGCGACCCGCCCACGGCGGACTGCGCGCGGAGTGCGCCTGCGGCCCGCGCGCCAGGCCCATCCGCGGGACCCCCGAGGCTCGGGCTGGGCCCACAGGGGATCGAGGCCCCTCCGCGGCCCGGGCGGAATTCACGTGAGTGCTCGGTGCACGGCACTGCCCGTAAACCATCAAACAGCACAGGGCGGTCTGATGCTCTCTTTGTTTGTTTTGTTTGTTATGTTTGTCTTTCTTTATTTATTTTGTTCTCTCTCTCTCTCTCTCTCTCTCTCTCTTTCTTTCCTTACAATTATATATACACATATGCTGAGATCCATACATAGAGGGAGAGGGAGACAGATAAAACACACACACATGTATATATATATGTATATATATATATACATGTATGATCACATATACGTATGATACAGCAAGAGAGGAAGGAAGGGAGGGAGAGAGACAGAGAGAGAGAGAGAACCAACGAACAAGAGAGGAACAACGGGCAAGAAAGACACAACAGAGCACCTCCCTTGCGCGGCAGCCGCGCGGGCACCAGTCGGTCCTGGCAGACCTGCTTCTGCTCTTCGCCTGGTCCAGGGGCCGCGACAGGGGGCGCGGTCGAGGCGAGAGGGCGGCAACGTCTGCGAAGGAAGCAGTCGCAGGCAACCGGCAACCACGGACGCAGAGGCAGTGACGAAGAGGGAGCAAGAGATAGAGAGAGTGAGAGAGAGAGAGAGAGAAAACGGCAGAGATCGGACAAGTAAACGGGAGTCCCGGCGACAGCCGGCTACTGCGGTAGCCGAGGCCGCCATCGCACTCTTGGCGGCGGTGCGCACCTTGGGGAACGGGGAATGTTGAAACAATCACCCCCCAGCAAAATCAGAACACTGGAAGATGGACATGGATGTGTCCGCGAAATCCTTGAGACCAGGGTGGGCAACTTCCAATCCGAACATCCCTTGAGCCTGATGCGCCGCCTCCAGAGCATGTAGGAAACCAGGCTGTGTGCATGCCGACCGCGCGCTGTGCCAAGAAGAGACCGGGTCGGGCTGCTTTCGCTGTGAGGTCAGTGCCCCTGGGAGAGGAGCGCAGAGGAGGGCCCCGTGCCCCGTCGGCGGCGACCCGAGGCAACGCATCGGGAAAAGGAAGCCTGCAGCATGACCATCGCGGATACTACTAAAGGAACAAATCAGGGGTGCGAGTTGCAAGCCCCATTCGCGAAAGTCCCCACGACGTTGGCGACGGAGAAGAGGGAGTGGGAAGGGGCAGGGGGGCAGGGGACGTATAAGAAAGACAAATGTGTCCCTAGGACCGCCAGGACCTGCCGGAGATCCGCGGGATGAGACGACGATGCCCTTCCCCTGGGATATAAGATAAACGATCTACCACAACTCGAATGCAAAAGGCAACGGGAGAAGGCAAGAACACGTGATGATCGGGAAGAGGTGCAGAAACGTAGCCCATGGGGAAAACCATCCACTACCGATACCGCTACTCCCAGGACCTCTCCCAAGGTGCGGTCTGACCAGGGCTTCGAGGCGAGTCCAGCCGTGGCGACGAGGGCCTCCCGGGAAGCCACGAGAAGGCGAGAACGAGGGAAGGGTAGCCGTATCGGTACCTTTTCCCCCTCTGAGCTCGCGCCCCGAAATCGCCATCACTCGGACGCTCATTTCCCGTGTATGGTTCGAGCTCGTGTGTGTGTGGTTTTTGTTCCCAACCATCCTGTGGTGTTGGGTCGTCGTTTTGAAGAGACGTCGCCCCGCGTTCCTCCTTCCTCCTCCTTCCTCCTCCTCCCCTTCCTCCTTCTCCTCCCCCTCCCACACCCATTCTGGCACACCCCTTACAAGTTTCGTGGCCCCATAGGGAGCTCCACCGAAGGCCCCAGTGGCTGCGCCCGCATGCGGTTCCACCCCCCATTTTGGCACACCCCTCACACGTTTCGTGAACCCATAGGGAGCTCCACCGAAGGCCCCAGTGGCTGCGCCCGCATGCGGTTCCACCCCCCGTTCTGGCACACCCCTCACACGTTTCGTGGCCCCATAGGGAGCTCCACCGAAGGCCCCAGTGGCCGCGCCCGCATGCGGTTCCACCCCCCATTCTGGCACACCCCTCACACGTTTCGTGGCCCCATAGGGAGCTCCACCGAAGGCCCCAGTGGCTGCGCCCGCATGCGGTTCCACCCCCCATTCTGGCACACCCCTCACACGTTTCGTGGCCCCATAGGGAGCTCCACCGAAGGCCCCAGTGGCTGCGCCCGCATGCGGTTCCACCCCCCATTCTGGCACACCCCTCACACGTTTCGTGGCCCCATAGGGAGCTCCACCGAAGGCCCCAGTGGCTGCGCCCGCATGCGGTTCCACCCCCCATTCTGGCACACCCCTCACACGTTTCGTGGCCCCATAGGGAGCTCCACCGAAGGCCCCAGTGGCTGCGCCCGCATGCGGTTCCACCCCCCATTCTGGCACACCCCTCACACGTTTCGTGGCCCCATAGGGAGCTCCACCGAAGGCCCCAGTGGCTGCGCCCGCATGCGGTTCCACCCCCCATTCTGGCACACCCCTCACACGTTTCGTGGCCCCATAGGGAGCTCCACCGAAGGCCCCAGTGGCTGCGCCCGCATGCGGTTCCACCCCCCATTCTGGCACACCCCTCACACGTTTCGTGGCCCCATAGGGAGCTCCACCGAAGGCCCCAGTGGCTGCGCCCGCATGCGGTTCCACCCCCCATTTCGGCACACCCCTCACACGCTTCGTGGGTGGCTCCATGGGGAGCTCCACCGAACGCCCCAGTGGCTGCGCTCGCATGTGGTCCCCCCCCATTTCGGCACACCCCTCACACGGTTCGTGGCCCCATAGAGAGCTCCACCGAAGGCCCCAGTGGCTGCGCTCGCATGCGGTTCCACCCCCTTTTTCGGCACACCCCTCACACGTTTCGTGGCCCCATAGGGAGCTCCACCGAAGGCCCCAGTGGCTGCGCTCGCATGCGGTTCCACCCCCCATTTCGGCACACCCCTCACACGTTTCGTGGCTCCATAGGGAGCTCCACCGAAGGCCCCAGTGGCTGCGCTGGCATGCGGTTCCACACCCCATTCTGGCACACCCCTCGCACGTTTCGTGGCCCCATAAGGGGGCTCCACCAAAGGTCCCAGTGGCACTGCCCGCTTGCGTCCGCCACCACCCAGCACAGCCCTTGTTCCCTGCGCTTCACCCACCCAGAACAGCGCTTCGTAGCCCTATAGGGAGCTCCACCAAAGGTCCCAGCGGCACCGCCCGCATGCGTCCGCCACCACCCTGCGCAGCCCTTGCTCCTTGCCTGCGTTTCACCCGCCCAGTACAGCGTTTCGTGGCCCCATAGGGAGCTCCACCGAAGGTCCCAGTGGCACCGCTCGCATACGTCCGCCACCACGCAGCACAGCCCTTACTGACCGCGCCTCACCCACCCAGTACAGCGCTTCGTGGCCCCATAGGGAGCTCCACCGAAGGTCCCAGTGGCACCGCCCGCATGCGTCCGCCACCACCCAGCACAATTGCGGCATTCACAACTGCATATGGTTGGGTCCTTCGCCAGGCTAATTTTTTCCCTGGATGATTCAGGATGCTCCGCCGCGAAAAGCTGCAGAATGATGCAGGATGCTCCTCAATTATGATTCAGGTTTTTGTTTTTGTCGGGATGATTCAGGATGATTCAGGTTTATGTTCTTTTCCCAGGACCATTTTGGATGATTCAGGATGCTCCTCAACGACCCCCGCCGCGAAAAGCTGCACACGCCAGAGCGACGCCGCGCGAAAGCGCGAGAGGGCCCGATGGCCACGACGCGCTCTTGGAGCGGAGACGCAGCAGAGGGGGCTCCCAAGAGGCCCACGGGCCCGCCAGCGACCGAGGGCGGGCACCCAACTCAGGGCGCTTGCCTGGCCGCCGGCCGCCGAGAGGGCGAGGTCGACCTGGCCGAGCGCAAAGCCAGTGCCGCGAAGGAGCATCGTGCAGATCGATGACCTATCCCCACTGACATGGCCTTGGCCGCACTGGCCGACATCCCCCCTCGAAGTGGGAATATGTCTCTACAGTTTGTTGTGTGTTCTTTCTCTCTCTCTCTCTCTCTCTCTCTATATATATATATATATATAAGTGTACGGCTATCTGCACAAGTGTGTGTGTGCGCATATGTGTATAGGCATGTTCATGTATCCCTATGTGTATGCCTGCACGGATGTATGTATGTGCATAATGTATGTATGTACGTCTGTGGGTGCATGTGTAGATATGGAGATGCACGTGGACTTACATGCGTATTTGTATGCACATGAACAGAGATGCTAGAGACATCGCGCGCGCTCAAGTTCTAACGCAGGACGGGGGCAATCGAAAACGCAAGTGCGGCAGTCGGATAGCGGTAGGGATCATGAACATCATCACCATCGTCGTGATCGTGATTGCCAACATCATAGCCATCGTCGCCAATTTGACCATCGTCACCGTCAGTGCCGTTAGCATGATCATAAGCATCATGATGATCATGATGATGATGATCATCATCATCATCGTCATCATAATCATCATTTTCAGCATCGTCGTCTTTGTCAGCATCAGCATCATCATGAACACCATGGACCTAATCATCACCATGACATGGTCGTCGCCGCCGTCGCCGCCGTCGCCAAGATGATCACAGACAAGCCTCCGGGAACATCTGGGCGACCGCCCCCCGCACAGAGGGGATTCCGACGATCAAGAAACTCATCGTCATCGTCATCATGCTTATTCCGATCATCATCAGCATCGTCATCTTTATTTTTCCCAACCATCCTGTGGTGTTGGGTCCTCGTTTTGAAGAGACGTCGCCCCGCGTTCCTCCTTCCTCCTCCTTCCTCCTCCTCCCCTTCCTCCCCCCTCCTCCCCCTCCCGCACCCATTCTGGCACACCCCTCACACGTTTCGTGGCCCCATAAGGAGCTCCACCGAAGGCCCCAATGGCTGCGCCCGCATGCGGTTCCACCCCCAATTCTGGCGCACCCCTCACACGTTTCGTGGCCCCATAGGGAGCTCCACCGAACGCTCCAGTGGCTGCGCCCGCATGCGGTTCCGCCCCCCATTTCGGCACACCCCGCACACGCTTCGTGGCCCCGTAGGGAGCTCCACCGAAGGCCCCAGTGGCTGCGCCCGCATGCGGTTCCACCCCCCATTCTGGCACACCCCTCACACGTTTCGTGGCCCCATAGGGAGCTCCACCGAAGGCCCCAGTGGCTGCGCCCGCATGCGGTTCCACCCCCCATTCTGGCACACCCCTCACACGTTTCGTGGCCCCATAGGGAGCTCCACCGAAGGCCCCAGTGGCTGCGCCCGCATGCGGTTCCACCCCCCATTCTGGCACACCCCTCACACGTTTCGTGGCCCCATAGGGAGCTCCACCGAAGGCCCCAGTGGCTGCGCCCGCATGCGGTTCCACCCCCCATTCTGGCACACCCCTCACACGTTTCGTGGCCCATAGGGAGCTTGGCTGCGCGCATGCGGTTCCACCCCCCATTCTGGCACACCCCTCACACGTTTCGTGGCCCCATAGGGAGCTCCACCGAAGGCCCCAGTGGCTGCGCCCGCATGCGGTTCCACCCCCCATTCTGGCACACCCCTCACACGTTTCGTGGCCCCATAGGGAGCTCCACCGAAGGCCCCAGTGGCTGCGCCCGCATGCGGTTCCACCCCCCATTCTGGCACACCCCTCACACGTTTCGTGGCCCCATAGGGAGCTCCACCGAAGGCCCCAGTGGCTGCGCCCGCATGCGGTTCCACCCCCCATTCTGGCACACCCCTCACACGTTTCGTGGCCCCATAGGGAGCTCCACCGAAGGCCCCAGTGGCTGCGCCCGCATGCGGTTCCACCCCCCATTCTGGCACACCCCTCACACGTTTCGTGGCCCCATAGGGAGCTCCACCGAAGGCCCCAGTGGCTGCGCCCGCATGCGGTTCCACCCCCCATTCTGGCACACCCCTCACACGTTTCGTGGCCCCATAGGGAGCTCCACCGAAGGCCCCAGTGGCTGCGCCCGCATGCGGTTCCACCCCCCATTCTGGCACACCCCTCACACGTTTCGTGGCCCCATAGGGAGCTCCACCGAAGGCCCCAGTGGCTGCGCCCGCATGCGGTTCCACCCCCCATTCGGCACACCCCTCACACGCTTCGTGGGTGGCTCCATGGGGAGCTCCACCGAACGCCCCAGTGGCTGCGCTCGCATGTGGTTCCCCCCCCCATTCTGGCACACCCCTCACACGGTTCGTGGCCCCATAGAGAGCTCCACCGAAGGCCCCAGTGGCTGCGCTCGCATGCGGTTCCACCCCCTTTTTTCGGCACGCCCTTCACACGTCTCGTGGCCCCATAGGGAGCTCCACCGAACGCCGCAGTGGCTGCGCTCGCATGCGGTTCCACCCCCCATTTCGGCACACCCCTCACACGTTTCGTGGCTCCATAGGGAGCTCCACCGAAGGCCCCAGTGGCTGCGCTGGCATGCGGTTCCACACCCCATTCTGGCACACCCCTCGCACGTTTCGTGGCCCCATAGGGGGCTCCACCAAAGGTCCCAGTGGCACTGCCCGCTTGCGTCCGCCACCACCCAGCACAGCCCTTGTTCCCTGCGCTTCACCCACCCAGAACAGCGCTTCGTAGCCCTATAGGGAGCTCCACCAAAGGTCCCAGCGGCACCGCCCGCATGCGTCCGCCACCACCCTGCACAGCCCTTGCTCCCTGCCTGCGTTTCACCCACCCAGTACAGCGTTTCGTGGCCCCATAGGGAGCTCCACCGAAGGTCCCAGTGGCACCGCTCGCATGCGTCCGCCACCACGCAGCACAGCCCTTGCTGACCGCGTCTCACCCACCCAGTACAGCGTTTCGTGGCCCCATAGGGAGCTCCACCGAAGGTCCCAGTGGCACCGCCCGCATGCGTCCGCCACCACCCAGCACAATTGCGGCATTTACAACTGCATATGGTTGGGTCCATCGCCAGGCTAAGTATCCAGTCATGATCATCGTCATCATCATCAGCATTTGCATCATCATCATCACAATCGTCATCATCATCACCATCATCATCAACATCACAATCATAATCATGATCACCACCGTTGCGCGCATGGTTGATGCCATTACTGTCGTTGTGATTATCCTCCTCCTCCTCCTCCTCCTCCTCCTCCTCCTCCTCCTCCTCCTCCTCCTCCCCATCCCCATCCTCATCATCATCGTCATCCTCATCGATATTCTCACCCTCATCAGCATTCTCATCATCACCAGCACAAGCACCATCATCGACATCATCATCGTCATGGTCATCGCCATCGTGCACCTTGGGATCATCATACTGGTTCCTCCTCCTCATCATCATCATCACCAGCATCATCACCACCATCATCAGTATCAGCATCAGTGTCATCATCGTCATCATAACCATCAGCAGCATCAGCATCAGCACCAGCATCATCACGATCAGCATCAGCATCAACATCACCATAACCATCATGAGCATCATCACCGTCATTGCCATCTTCACCAGGATGGGCATCAGCATTGTCACCGTCGTCGCCCGCCCATATTTCCGAACACGACCTCTGGGAGCATTGGGGCGGACTGCGCGCCACGGGACGCCTCTTGGAGCCGTCTTGGGGGTGGGTCGGGGGGAGGGCTCCCGCTTGGGCCGTCTCGGGAGCCTCTCGGGCCGTCTGGAAGGCAGCTGGAGGCATCAGAGGCCCACCGAATGGGAAACGGCGAGATCTTGAACACAATAGCTCTCCATTCTTGGGCGACGTGGGCGTCTTCTCGGGCTCTTGGGCCCTCTTGGACCGAGAGGGCGGACCACCGACCCCAGGGCTGGGAAGAGAGAGCGGCTCGTAGTAGCATTACCACGTGGTCGACACCCGGAAACCAGGCAGCGGCCGTGCCTTGGGCTGTGGAACAGAGTGCCCTGGGAGGCCTCTCGGGGGCCTTGTGGAAGCACTCTGGAGGCCTCTATTGTCGTTCCGATATCGCCGATATCTGGATGGAAATGGAAAGGATATCCTTTTGCTGCTGCTGCTGCGTAGCATCAAACTGGTCAAAGCGCCTGAGCCAAACGGTAGCAGATATGTGCTATGCTACAACATGCTGCATACACAATTGATCACTCACACTCCTCCGAAATGTACGCTGTACACTTCTATGATCAAAACGATGCCATGATCAAACGGAGGATCGGCCGGTCGCTGACGGCTCATCCGCTCACGCTCGGGCCCAGGGTATTTAAAGGTATGGCTTGCTTGCGAAGTGAGCCCACAGGTCAAAGGCAGTAACCAAAAACAAACTCGCTAGCGACAAAACTCGCACGTGCAATCAGGGAGGTAGGACGAGGAAGAGGTGGGGATGGTATTGCACGCTGCCAAACGGCAGCCAACGTACATCAGCCCAGCGGGGCCCGCGGCTAAGAAACCAAACAAACTTGGAAATCCGAGTGCACCCAGGCTCGAAATACGAAACACATGGAGCTCTCTGGGGTGCCCGTGGTCTGTGGAGCACATATACTGAGTGCTCACACGCATCCAGTGATTCCTGAAAAAAAAACGCACACTGAGTGCTCATTCAGCCCCTCGCATCGTTGGAGCACCGCACAATCACGGAGTCCTCACACGATCGTAGGGCTGCCCTCACCGATCGGCGGTGGAGTGGCGCCGTCGGCATGGCAAAAGTCGGGCTTCGCATCGAGCCGCATCGCCGAGGCATCGGCGATGCGGCGCGATCCTCCGACCCCGTCTGGGAGGCCCAGACCACCTGCCGTTGTCTCAACATGCCCTCCCCTGAATCATGTTGCTCCCATCGTACTTCAGGACCGCATCCCAGAAATAATCTCGAGCACCCAGAACAGTATCGAAACAGTGCCGATCGACTATCGCCTCCCAGGGCCCGACACGTGAGAACCACCCAGTTTCGGTACTTTCTTGGTGCTCGAAATTCTTTGTGGCGATCAAGGCTACACGTCCATTTCTAATCGTGCTCAGTTCTAAGTGTGCTCGTTTCTGATTGTTCCTGGCCCCCTAGTGGCCAGGAAGAGGCCCAGGATAGAACAATTAGAAATGAAAGGTTCTTGCCCCCCCCCAAAAAAGCAAAGAGCTTTCGAATACTTAGACATGAACTACGTGTACGTAAGGCGCGCTGGAACAACATGACCCCTGAGATCCCCCAGGCGGTGGTCACCGAGAGATCTGCGCCCTGGAGCCTGGAGCGCTCCGCGCGAGGCCGCGCGGGGCGGGTGGCGCCTTGAGCAGGGCAGAGACCAGCAGCATCGTGCAACCCAGGACGAGGGCCTGCGCCGGGGACGCGAGCGCTCGGCGCTGCGAAGCGAGACCCACCTCATCCAAGCCTCGAGTCTCGAGCCTCGAGCCTCGAGCCTCGAGCCTCGAGGGACTCTCCCTCCCTCCTTTTCCCGTCCGTCCTCCTCCCCGCGATGCCCCTCCTGAGATGCCCCCGCGCCGCGTCGGCCCGGGCCGTCCCTGCGCGTGCCTGACCTCGGCCTCGCTCCACTCCCCATCTCCCCCCTTGTCCCCCCCCCAGCCAGTCTGATCCTCCTCCTCCTCCTTCCCTCCCTAGTCTTCATCCTCCTCCTCCTCCTCCATCTTCCCTCCCTAGTCTTCATCCTCCTCCTCCTCCGTTTCCTCCTCCTCCTCCCCCCTCCCTCCCTGGTCTTCATCCTCCTCCTCCTCCGTTTCCTCCTCCTCCCTGGCCCTGCCGAGGAGACGCGGCCCGAGCGCCGCAGGCCGGAGCGCGACGCCGCGCCAAGGACGAAGCTGGCCAGGCTGAGCCAGGCCACGTCAGGCCACGTCAACCAAGCTCGCCTACGCTGCACGACACACCAACGGCAGGCAATGAATCAATGAAGTGATCGGAGGTGCTGCACTGAGCTAAGAAAGATCACGCTGATACGTCCGATATTGTCACGGGCTGCGCTACTCTGGCTTCAGGTTAAGGTCCGGCACGATGCATCATGAGCCTAGCTGCGCTACTCCGAGTCTTCTTGAGATGAGACATCCGCTGCTCTGGCTGGTGTCCCTGTTTTGTATGCAGTCATTGTAGCACGCATTCCTTCTTACGCCAATTCGCCACTACTTCTTTTGGGCTGGGCTGATGGGGACTGAAAGGCATGAGGGTCAGACTTGTCTGGCTGATGCTCGGCGACGGCCAGCATGGCATGGGCCGTGGCCAAGATCGGCGCCAACAAGATCCCGCGACATCTTGGTTGTGGTCCCCGTGCTTGATTGCTTACCAGACCACCACAACCCAACCCCAAGACCCAAATTTTGGGTCGGGCTGGGGGTACGGGTTACGTCTGTGTTTTCCTCGTGTTCCCCGATCCCCCACACTGGAAATGAAGCGCAACTCGAGGCCTTCGGGTTGGGTTGGGGTGGTTTGGCGGGCGGTGAGGGCCCAGACCTACGATCTTTCCAAAACGTCGACCCCCAAAGGTCTGGACCTGTTCCCAGGGACAGGGCTGTCATCCTGAGTCATGCTCGACGGCCCCGGGGCCCAGTAAGGGCCCGGCCCCCCAAAGGCTGAAACTAAGGAAAAGAACCTCCCGTCATGATCTTTTCACAGCCTGGGCGTAGGCTGTCTACGTAACACTGGTGGGAGACCTCTTCACGCCCAAAGGACTGGTGGGAGCGCCCCCCAGAAAAACTCTCAGGGGGGCGAGGGGAGGGTACCCCTCCCCGAAGGGAAGAGGGTTTGGGAAGAGGGAAGAAACACTCGTTACGTAGACAACCTACGCCCAAGGGACTGGAGGGAGTGTTCCTCCCCGCGGGGCGGGCGCGCGAGGCGGGCGCGCGCGCAGGCGCGCGCGCCACGAGCGCCGCCCAGACCCACCAGGGCATGCCGCCCTGGGCGCCGACGGCGGGCGCGGCCTCGCGCGGCGGGGGGGGCGGCGGGGCTCGGGGCAGGAGGAGGAGGAGGAAGAGAAGGAGGAGGAGGAGGACGAGGAGGAGGAGGAGGGGGAGGAGGAGGAGGAGGAGGAGGAGGAGGAGGAGGAAGAGGAGGAAGAGGAGGAGGAGGCGGAGGAGGAGGTGGAGGAGGAGGAGGAGGAGGAGGAGGAGGAAGATGAGGAGGAGGAGGAAGAGGGGGAGGAGGGGGAGGAGGACGGAGGAACTGAAACCAGAACAACTCATGGGGTCCAGACTGTGTTATCGACCTGCACTGCATTACTGCATAAACTCACGCGCAGCAGCTCGACACACGCTAGGCCTCTCAGGCGGGTCACCACAGACCACACAGCCACTGTCTGAGGCGAGACCTTCCCTCACCCCAGCTGTTGCACTGGCCACGTTTGACACTCCAACGGGCACGCATCCCGCAAAAGGAGGTCAGCCCACAAACTCAGGGAGTCCCACCAGCCCTTTGGGAGGTGAGTGGTTTAGAGAGCCCGCTCTGTCCTCAACCCCCCTTCTTCCCCTTCGGGGAGGGGTTTACCCCTCCCCCTACCCCCTCCCCTGGACCTGGAGAGGGCGGGCGGAGTGCTGTCAAGGGGGTCTTTTTCGACTCCTGGGAGGGCCAAAAAACGACGACGCTCACGAGGATTCTGGTCCCGAGGGGGGGAGACCGTTTGGCGCATCAACTCGTCTTTGAAGCCAAAACCATTGATTTTACTAGGGTTGTGGCCCCATTTTGGCCTTCTGAAAGGGCCGCGCTCATCGTCCTTCATAGCAAAATCATTGATTTTACAAAGGTTTTGGCTTCATTTTGTCCCTCTCAGGGGCCAGCGCCCATTTGCGCTTCTGAGGAGGTCGCAAGAAGCCCCAAGATGGCCCCAAGAGGCTCCCAGGAGGCTCCCAAGAGGCCTCCAAGAAGCCCCCAAGAGGCCCCCAAGAGGCCCCAAGAGGTCCCCAAGAGGCCCCAAAGAGGCCCCCAAAAGGCCCCAAGAGGCCCCAAGAGGCCCCCAAGAGGCCCCCAAGAGGCCCCCAAGAGGCCCCCAAGAGGCCCCAAGAGGCTCCAAGAGGCCCCCAAGAGGCCCCACGAGGAGCCCGAACGACTCACACCAGGACGAGGGGCCCGAACGACTGACACCACGAAAGCCCGAACGACTCACACCAGGAAGAAAGGCCCGAACGACTCACACCAGGACGAGGCGCCCGAACGACTCACACCACGAGGAGCCCGAACGACTCACACCACGACGCGGGCCCCGAACGACTCACACCACGAGGAGCCCGAACGAGTCACACCAGGAGGAGGGGCCCGAACGACTCACACCAGGATGAGGGGCCCGAACAACTCACACCACGAGAAGCCCGAACGACTCACACCAGGACGAAGAGCCCGAACGACTCACACCACGAAGAGCCCGAACGACTCACACCAGGAAGAAGGGCCCGAACGACTCACACCAGGACGAGAAACCCCAAACGACTCAAATCACGAGGAGCGCTTTCTCTCCCTCCTCCTCCGCCTCGTCCTTCTCCCGCTCCCCCCACAAGGAGGATGTACAAGGAGGCGGGAGGAACGAGAAACAGGGGAGATATGCGGGGCCAAGCGGACACACGCCTGAAAAACACGACTGTCGGCATGCTTCGCAAGAGTTGCTGCTGTGAGATGGGCTGGTGGGGATACGCGAAGCGTAAAGAATTCCCTTCCTTCCCCCCGCCCCCGCTCCGACCCATCACCCCGGCCCCTCCCTCTGGATGCCTGCGGGCGGCTACGCGCCAGCACAACGGTCGGAATAGGCGGCAGCCCAGGGTCACTGTACGATGATGCGTGCCGCCCTGGGCGATCCAGGATGTCTGGAGCCACCACTCCACTAGATATCAACTGATGTAGCCACGCGCTGGTACTCAGGCTACGTCTGACTTGTTCAGCCCGGCCATAAGCTCGCGCTCGATGGCCCCCCCTCGGCGCAGACCCCGTCAAGAACTCCCCCCTCCCGGCTTCGATCGCAGCCTCGAGGATATTCGACGCCTCAACTCCCAGAGGCTTGCTGAATTCCGTCCTCAACAGGATGATGCACTTCTTCTCCTTGCGCAATTGCTTGCACCTGAAGCAGGGAACCGCCCGAGCGATCGTCTGGAGCCTCAGCTTCTCCTGCACGTGTTGCTGCCACCAGTTCTTGCTGTCCTGCAACAGTTTCTCTCTCCTCCTCGGCCCCCGTAGACCCCGTTGTAGGTGTTCTCGTCGCGCAATACTTCATTCCTGCCACAAAGACGTGCACGTGTGGCGGTCCTCTACCCTTGTAGTCCTGCTCCTCCCCCGCGGCCGGCTTGGCCTTCATGTGTTTGCTCTGCTCGTTGTAGCTCTTGTCTGCCACCATCAGCTGCGCGGGGAGGCCTCGATCGAGCGCGAAGTCCCACCTGAGGAGTACCGAGCTGGCCACGTTCGCGAGCTCGCGCGTGGCGGTGAGCAGCAGGCGCACGACCATCTCCACGACGAGGGTCATGTCTTTGCCGCCCTTGCCGCCGCCCTTCTTGTGAGACTTGCTGCCGCCAGCTGTGCCCCCGCTCGGCTGTCCGCCCTCGTTGGGGGCGTCGCGTTTCTTGCTGAACCAGGATGGCTTCGAAAACTCCACCGACATCACGGGCCCACCGCTGCTGTGTAGGTTCGGTTCTGAATGGAAGAAGCTGCCAGGGAAGGTGCACGGAAGCCAAATCATTACATAGGCCACAGCTGCTTCACAATCACATCGGGCGCATTGGAGACTTCGAGGTTGCTGAATTTCCCCAAGATCCCAGGGCCCCGTCGTTCAACAGCTGACCCTCAGGATGGAACCCAACAGGTGGCGAGAAGCCGTGACCTTGCTCGAAAGACCTGCCTGCAGTGCACACATACATCCGCGGGGGTAATCACAGGTGCTAGACTACATACATTATGATGAGCTCTGCAATGATGCATCTGCGCCTTACCTGTGCGAAATGAATCCCCACAGATGCTCGTTTCCAGACTAGCCATACGCCTAGACTGTGGATCCCCTTCTGAATCAGCAGGAGGCCCCCCGAGCCCGTCGAGCACCGGAAGAGAGCCTGGTGGAGGAACCTGAACCAGACGCCGCCGCCCCGAGAATTCCCATGCCAATCATGCAGAACTCCTGCATGTCCTCCTTCTTCCCAAACATATTCCAGTCACCTACCAAGACATCTACCGCCACGCTATCGATACACCCCGCCGCGAACTAGAGATCGCGCACCAACTGGCGCAGCCAAGGAGAGGCCGCCTCCGACGGGACCCCCTCGACCAACTGTGGAGAGAAACCTGCTTCTGCCTCGCACTCGAAGTCCCCAAACATGGCACACAACGGCTGGATGTGGTGATCGGGTCTCTCCCCCCAGCTCTCGTACCACTTCAATCGGCGTATCCTCAGCTCGCTTGCGCAATCAAGGACGCGCCAGTACCTGAGGGCCTGGGAGTGGGAGAGAGACCTCGTCTTATTTTCCTCATGCAGCGTTGCCCGTCCGAGCATCGCGATACGAGCCAGCGAGGCCAAGCCAAACGTCGGTAATCGTACCTGCTGAGCACAAACGCCTCCAAGCCTGCAATGAGTAGTAGGAGGAGGAGGAGGAGGAGGAGGAGGAGGAGGAGGAGGAGGGAGGGAGGAGGGAGGAGGAGGAGGAGGAGGCCAGGCCAGGCAGGCCAGGCCAGGCCAGGCCAGGCCAGGCCAGGCCAGGCCAGGCCAGGCCAGGCCAGGCCAGGCCAGGCCAGGCCAGGCCAGGCCAGGCCAGGCCAGGCCAGGCCAGGCCAGGCAGGCGCTCGGGGGTCGTAGCTCCTCTACGCTTGTGAGCTAGTGAGACCCCTGCGGAAACGTAAGAACTGGCCCTCTCTTCGGGACTGGGCCAGCCCTGGCGACTCGCCTAGCGAGCCGTTGCACGCAGGGTGAGTGGCCATCGGCTGCGAGGCACGGGCCTCGCAGAGGGGCTCGAGCTGGCCACCGCAACCCCCTCCTCCACGCCGTCATGGGGAGGCCCGAGCACCGTTCCCAATGTCGGCAGGGGGAGTGGGCAGAGCAGCCCGTTCAAACCCAAAAACGGCGTGGGGAAGCACCCAGGCCTCCCAGGGCGTGGGGCCTCCCAAGGGGCGGCTCCCCCTTGCAGCAAAGAAGAAAAAGAGAGAGAGAGAGAGAGAGAGAGAGAGAAAGAGAGAGAGAGAGAGAGGCGGTGGCTCGCATCTTCTGGCCGAACTGCCAGCGCTCGAACCAGAAACCTCCTGCCCTGCCCAGCCCTTCGGCCCAGGCTCGGCGCGAGAATAACACGTGATTTTTTTCTTGGAACCAAGCGAGCGCCGGACACTTTACGACGCATCACAGGACCGGGCACTTTCGCCCGTAAAACGTCTGGCCTTGGTGCGCGGCCGCCTCGAACCGGACGCTGACCAGAGTGTGGTTAGCCACGCCTGGATGACCCGTGCGGGTCCCAGAGCCGCCTCTGACCTGAGCTGGAAAAAAACAGTTTTCCAAGGCATTACGACGGGACAAGATGCAACTGATCAGTACGGATTGTAATAAGCACACGAGAGGAAGAGACAGGCAGAGACAGCAATCCAAGCAGGGGAGCTCTGGCAGCTTCAGTGGGATTACAGAATAGCTGCGGCACCGCCTGGATGCGTGCTGTCGCCTCTGAGCTCACTTCCTCCCTCGCATACCATACCTCATGAAGGTCCTATCTCTGCGGCGCCTGCCCTAGAGAGATCAACCTCGTTGCTCGTAGCATCTCATTGCTCATCAACTGTCGGCCAACCATGACGCATATCAAGTGTCGAAGTGCTCTATGTAGGCTGGGTGCGGTTCACTCGGGCGTGGGCTCTCCGTCGTATGCGAAGGAAGAAGAAGGAAGACTGAATCTCTGCTGTTGGGCCGAGACTGCAAATAGATGCTGCAAGGGTAATTGAATAGTCATCACACTGTGTGCAGGAGTCGGGCGTCACATGTCACCGCCATGCTGCCTGGGCCCCGTCGGGTGCACTTGTGGTCCTTGTTCTAGTGCCTGTAAGTCGGTACCATGTCCTGCTGAACTGTGGCCTGGAGTCCTAGGAGGTCCCTGTACGAGTCCCTGGCTGAGGTCCACAAGGTGCTTGCGTCGTTCGCGATACTTCACTGCAAGGGCGTGCATCTCTTCGAATTTGCTACTGAATTTTCTCTGTTCCCTAAGTTTCTGGAATTTCTTCGGGCCAATACTGATCGCATGAGCAAGCTTTTCCATCTCACTCTCTGGTGGCCAGCGTGCAAGGGACGACGAGAGAGGAGGCAACAACGTACCGCTGGCTACCGCCGTGGGCGCCTCTCGACCTTGTCGCCCAGCAGCGTCGCCTAGTATCGGCAAGTTGTGTCGGGATACTGGTGCCGTCGTTACGGCCTGCGGCGCAAGGACGATTCGACCGCTCTCCCCAGGGCGCGCTTGGGAGCTGAGGCCTTCCCCTTGTTCGCGTTGAGGCCCAGCAGGCTGACCGTCATCGCCTCCTTGACCTTGAACACTGAGAAGTTTCGCACCCATGCTAGCTCGGGCTCCCCGATCTCCTTCCCCTGTAGGATGGCGCCCAGCACTGGAATCGGTATCAGGCTGTACTGGAGCTTGCCGTACCTGTCCCCCTCGTCCTCGTCATCCCTCTTGTACGTCTCGTTGACCTTGAAGCTCTTGAAGATCTCCTCGATCATGGCCTGGCCGTAGGAGGTCGCCGTCGAGTTGATGAACTCCAGCAGGATGGCTTTGCTCTCCTTCTCCATGATACGGCCGTTGGCCCCGTCCATGGACGCGTGCAGCTTGCGCATCACTTCGATAGCCACGTGCACGCGCGGGGGTCCCAAGCCATGCTTCTTCCCGCGGGAGCGGACCTCCGTGGCGTACTTCTTGGCTGCCTGCAGGCCCGCTTGGAAGGCCCTGGCCTGCGCTGGGATGAGCCAGAAGTCGGAAAGCACGTGCATCGCCTCCCTCAAGTCTTGCGCACTTCGCAGTGCTAGCTTCATCGTCACGTTCAGGCGGTCGTCGTAGTGGTCGTGGTCGTCGCCGCGTCCTCGTGGTGGCTGCTGTCCCCCTCCACCGCCGTTTGCTGCTGCCGATGCTGCCGGCGCCGAGCGGCGTTCTCCTCGCAAATCGCTGCTTGCGCCGCGCTTGCCGGCCAGCTGCCAATCCGCTCTCGGTGCCAGCGCCGCCATGGCGAGTACGCTCTTTAACCGAGTGGGGGCCTTCGTGATGAGATCGAACGTGGCACTGAAAAGAGAGTAGGTCTTGGGCCTCGTGCCCACAGAGGCCGCATTCCAATGAGGCAGTTCCATTAGTTCGTGGGCCCATTTGCTGCGGTCAACATAGCACGTGCCATGCCGTTCTACAGCCCTGTGGCAATGATCGATCGCCGTCTTTCGATTGAGGAATACACTGAGACACCAGGGGCATTGATTGGTGGTAACAAGCACTGTGAGGAGCGTGCGAAGGTTGTGCACTCCTCTCTTGTGTGCCTGTAGTGCCTGTGCTGTCCTAGAAAGAGGAGGAGGAGGAGGAGGAGGAGGAGGAGGAGGAGGAAGGAGGAGAGGAGGAGGAGGAGGAGGAGGAGGAGAGGAGGAGGAGGAGGAGGAGGAGGAGGAGGAGGAGGAGGAGGAGGAGGAGGAGGAGGGGGGGAAAGACCGTGCCCTCCTCCTCCGAACTACTCTGTTCCCCCATGCCGACAGGGACGAACCCGCTTTCTGAACCCACCGCTCCCCTCGGGACTCTTCCCCCCCGCCCCTGACACCCATTCCTGCCTCCGTGCCCCCCCAAAACTCACCACTCACCTCGGGACTCTCTCCCTGCCCCTGCCCCCCCCCCCCCCCCCCACCCCTCCTCCCTGACTCCCATGCCAGCCAGTCCTGCCTCCCGGCCCCTCCCCCACCATCCAGACTTGCTTCCATGCGAGGTCCCCAGAAGTCCCGACCCGCTCCCCAGGGCCAGCTTCCCATCCCCAGTCGTTGCTCGACGGCCCCTGGGCCCGGCGAGGGCCCCTGGAGGCCGAAGACTTTCCCAAACCGAACGTCCTGATCCACTCTCGGCGCGACCTGGAGAGCATCCCGAGGCTGGAACACCGCCGAGAACCCGCGAAGACTACGAGAGCCCTCCGTCTCTCGATGTTTGCCACTGCCCGAGCGCAGGTCTCCTCGTCGGGTGCATCCCCCCCCGCCCACACAGATCGTTGGCGCCGAGCAGAGGGGGGCCGGGGGGAGGGTGGAAGACTTCTGAGAAGCACCCCTGCTTCTCAGAAGGCGCGGGCCAGACATCTACAGACACGGCCAGCGCCCTGCTCCGAAGAAGCCTTCCCCCTTCCCCCGACCCCCCCTTCTCGCCGCCGAGATCGAGCGCCACATGGCCGGCGCGCCGGCATCGCGGAGCCGAGCACCACATCCGTGGCGTTCGTCTGGGGGCCGGCGCGAGGGCGCAGGATGGGGCGGGAGAAGCGCGGGGGCCGTACAGTGGGGGCCCGACCCCAAGAAACCTTCCATGGTAAACTCAACCCTGAGACCCCCGGAGTCCATGGATTTTTGGTGTGGGGACGTCACGCTTTCCGTAGCAAAGCCATCGACACCCAAGAAACCCAGGGCACCCTGGAGGCAAGCAAGGTGTTTCTTGGCATGGGCCTCCACTGTAGAGGAAGCGCAAAGGGAATGAATCAACATGCTCCGCGGCGAGCAAGGGGGTGGGGGAAGAAGAAGGAGGATGCCGTCTTTAAGGTTCGGAAGCCCTCCGGCCTGCTGTGAGAAGTTTGCTGAGCCTTCCCCGAAAGACACAAAAGACTCCTCAGAGGCGTGAGGGCTTCTGAGAAGTCCCACCGCCTTCCGAGAAGGCCTGCTCTTGTTCATTTCCCCCCCCCCTCGCTTGCCTTATGTCGGGCCTGTCCGCCTGCAGGGGGAATTGTCGACGAAAAACAAAACATACCTCCAAAATACCCCAAAGGCAAACAAAAAAATTCAAAAAATAGTCCCCAGACTGTTGTTGGACTATTGTTTGAATATTTCTGGTGTATGTTGGTGTATTTTGACTTTCTCTGAATATTTTTGGTGTACTTTTTTTTGACTTTTTTTGGTGTATGTTTTATTTGTCGTCGAACATCCTCCTGTAGGGGGACAGGCCCGATTTCACGCCCGCCGCCGCCAGGCACTCTCGGAGCTCCGTGCGGGTTTCCAGGGTCGCCGCTGGGCCCTCCGTGGCGGGCGGAGCGCGCAAGGGGGCGGCGCCAGGAGGGGGGGCCCGGCACCGATCCAAGGACTCCGCGCGGAGCGCCGGAAGTGTACAGTTCTGCAGGGCTTACCATCTGTCCTAAGTATGGGATTCTGGATCCCATATCCTAAGTATGGGATTCTGGACCCATCGTGGCGGGCGGAGCGCGCAAGGGGCGGCGCCAGGAGGGGGGGCCCGGCACCGCTCCAAGAACTCCGCGCGGAGCGCCGGAAGTGTATGGTTCTGCAGGGCCTACCGTCTGTCCTGTTTCTGGAGGTTGATGTTTCTGCAGGTGTATGGAGGGTTTAGTTCTGGAGGTGTTATGTTTCTGCAGGCTTCTGCAGGTTTGTGGAGGGTGTATGCCTACCGGTGTATAGTTCTGGAGGTGTATGTTTCTGCAGGGCTTACCATCGATCCAAAGTATGGGATTCTGGATCCCCATGTCCCGAGTATGGGATGGTTGTTATTTCTGGGGCGCCGTGGCCTCGTCACTTACTCCCCTCCCGCCTGCTTCCTCGGACTCGGGCGCAGATCGCTCGTACCGGAGCTCACTCACAATCGCACTCAGACTCACACATACTCAGATACTCTCATGCTCCGCTAGTTCTGGACTCAGGCACACGCACAATCAGACACGCGTAGACTCAGACTCACTTCTCGCACTCGGACCCATACACACTCAGTCATTCACACTCAGACTCCCTCACACGGACCACTCACACTCAGGCTCGCCTCACGCTCAACTTGTGACGATGTCTCAAGCGAGGCGCTGGCTTCAGCACCACAAGGGGAAGCGACCAGGGGTTGTCTCACGGGCTCGTTCGCACCCAGAGTCTGCGGATGTCTCAGGCGGTTTGCCTGTGTGGTGGCTTGGACTTCTCTGCTTCCAAACTGATCGCGAGCATGTCTCAAGCGAGGCGCTGGCTTCAGCACCCCAGTCGGTCAGATCGTGATGATGTACCGATGTATGTGGTCGGCGTTGTCCCTCCCACTCCTTCCTGTCAGTTCAGGATCCCATGACCACTTCGATGTACGGAGAAGGACGGCCGACAGGACGGAGGAGGGCGGCCGGAGGAGAAGGCGAAGGACGCAGGAAGAGGGAGGAGGGAGGAGGGAGAAAGAAAGGGAGGGGGTACGACGAGGAGGAAGAGGAACGAGGGGGGAAAGGAGTGGGCCTGCTCACCGCACGTCTCTGTGAGCTGTGGTCGCCAGTATCCCTCATGGTAAAGGCCGCCGTCGTCGTCGTCGTCGTCGTCGTCGTCGTCGTCGTCGTCGTCGTCGTCGTCGTCGTCGTCGTACTCGCGCTGGTTCACCACCACCAGATCCCAGGGGGTGCCGCTCGTCCGCTCGCGCGCGCGCGGGCGGCCGGGCAGGCGACGGCGGCGACAGGCCACGACGACGACGACGGCGACGGCCACGACGACGACGGCGACGGCGGCGGCGGCGAGAACGACGACGGCGGCGACGCCGGCGGCGACGGCCACGACGAAGACGACGACGACGGCTCCGCGCGCCAGGGACGCGGGCCATCTCCGACCAAAGAAATTCGCGCTGAGCTCCGAAAGTGAATGCTCATGCCCGTCGCTGAGATATCATGCGTTGACGAAGCTGCTGACGTGTGTCGCCGCGGTGTCCCGATAATCGCTCTGACCATCCGTCGTTGCGTGCGGTGCAACTGCTGTTTGAGGTATTCTGTTACTGTCCATGACTCTGCACCGTACATCATTGTGGGCATGACGGTGCCACGGTACAGTCGTAGTCTGTGTTTGAGTGGGTAGTGCTTGCTCGTTAGTTCCTGTCTGTGCCCTGTGAAGCACGCCCATGCCGCTTGGATGCGATGCTGGATTTCGGTCGCCGATGCGTCTTGGAAAGTTACGGTCTGGCCGAGATATTTCAGCTTTCCGGAAGGTGGCAATACTGCGATGTCCATGGTTGCAACTCTCGCTGAACGCGTCCGGGTCCAGGGCGTGCTGCAGTAGACCGTTAAAGAGCAGTGAGCTCAAAGGGTCTCCTTGTTTTGTGCCTCGTCTGAGCTTGAAAGGTTTGCTGGTGGAGTCGGTGCGGACAAAGGCCTTCTGGTCTCGGTAGAGACGCCGGAGCAGGTGGACGCGCTCGGGTTACACGCCTTGTCGTCGTAGTGCTGTCCATAGGCTGCTGTGCTCTACTGTGTCGAACGCTTTCTTAAAATCTACGGCAGCAATCCGCAGGGTCTGGTTCCATTCGGAAGCTGGCTCTCGCAGGATGTTGAAAGTGAAGAGCTGTTCGCGCGTGCCGCGTCCAGGTCTGAATCCCGCTTGGTCGTCGAGCTGGCGTTGTTCAAGGACTGGCTGTAATCTGTTGTAGAGCAGACGACTGAGTAGTTTGTATAGCATGGGTATCGTACAGATCGGGCGGAAATTCTGTGGAAGAGATGAGTCGCCCGATTTGGGGATGACTGTGATCACTGTGTGCACGAGGAGGACGCCGACGGAGGGCGTGAGAGGGCTCAGAAGCACCGCCACATTTGTAAGTGTACACAACCCTGGAGAGAGCATCGTTCAGAGACGTGAGACTCGGGTTCGGGGGACTCGGATTGACCTGACGGGGCCGTCAGGGAATTGACGAGGCCCACTCTGAAATTTGACGCGAACGAGAACTGGACCGTCAACATCCAAGCTGGGACCGCCCAACAGCGCTGGCATACCCTAGTCCTGGCGAACTCGAGACTCACGCCAAGTCTAATGAAAATCGGTCCCCGGTCCCCTCCCAGAACTCATCTGGTGCAATCGTTTCACTACGGATCCGTCTCTCACGGCCCGGGGGCCCGAACACAGCCCCCAGAGGCCGCAAAAGGTAAACAACCTTCCCGAACCCAGAACCTCGAACCTCTTCCCCCCTTCCTGTTGGCCAGAACCGGTGCTGGGCCACCTCGGGACCCCGAGCCGCCTCCAAGGCAAACCCGAGTTCCGGCGACATCTCCTTGACCGTGCTGAGAGAGCACGCGCGAGGCCGTGCCAAGCGGCCCTCCCAGCCCAGGCGAGCCCTGCGCCAGGCTGCCCCGCGCCAGGTTGCGCGCACGGCGCCGCGTCCCAGGTGCCAGGGCTTCCACGCGAGGACGCCAGCCGCGTGCAGCGCGCGCCCGCACACCACCGCCAGCACGCATGCAGAGGGCGGCCTTCCGCCGGAGGATCCGCCCCGCGTTACCTCCGCCGCCTTCCGCCCGCCCTCCGCCGAGGAGGGGATGGCAACGCCTCCTGATCCCCGAATTCGAGGCCCCGTCCCAGAGGTGCTAACGACGCTTCCCCAACGCATCCTCAACGCACAAGATGCGTCATAGAATACATACGGCACAGAATGCCGCAAATGCGTTGCCAGTTTCGGTAAGAATGCGATGGCGCATCCTGTGCGTTGTGGATGCGTTGGGGATGTGTCGGCGGCACCACCTGGATCCTGGGCCGCCTCACTCGTAGGACATGCCCCTGGGGGGGGGGACAGAGCACGTGAGGCCGTGCAGGCGAAGGCGGCCTTGCACGCGTGCGAGCCGACGTAGGAGCCTGGCGGCGCGCCGCGTCGGGAGCGCGCAACCCCCGCGTGAAGCAGAAGCAGGGGAAGTGGCGCAGGAGGAGGGCGAGAAGGAGGAGAGGAGGGGGGAGCGGCACCAGCTGGACGAGGAGGAGGAGGAGGAGGAGGAGGCGGAGGAGAAGGCGGAGAGGGAGGTGGATGAGGAGGGGGAGGAGGATGAGGGGGAGAAGGGGGAGGGGGAGGAGGGGGAGGAGGAGGGGGAGGAGGAGGAGGAGGAGGAGGACGAGGAGGAGGAGGAGGAGGAGGAGGAGGAGGAGGAGGAGGGGGAGGAGGAGGGAGGAGGGGGGAGGAGGAGGAGGAGGAGGAGGAGGAGGAGGAGGAGGAGGCGGAGGAGGAGGAGGAGGAGGAGGAGGGGGCGGGGGAGCTCGCCCGCGCCCGCCCCTGGGGACAGCAGTCGGCGACGCGCCCGGCGGAGCTTCGAGGTCCCGAGGCTCTCGGACGTCCTCGTCGCTTCTACGCGCGTGCGGCAGGCTCGCGGCGTGGTCGACCCCGAGCGCTGGTTGCCGACACCGCGGGGATCGTCCGACCTTGAAGGATCGGCCGCTTCCGAGACGTCAGCTCGTCCAACGTCTTGGGCGTGGCTTAATGGGGGGGTCACAAATGGGGGGGTCAGAAAAGGTCCCCTTTCGTGCCCCTTTCGGACCCCTCCAGAGCCCCAAGGAGCTCGTTTAGGTACCGTTTGGGTGCCTTTTCGGACCACCCTCGCCACCCCTCCATTTGTGACCCCCCCATTACGCGGCGCCCAAACGTCGACCGCTTCTGGGTCGCCGGCGGCGTCCAACGCTGAACGCTGGCGGCGGGGTCGCCGCCGATCGGCACGAGGCGAACCCGCCGCAGACGGGGGGCGGTCAAGAGGGGGGCGTCCAAGAGGGGCCAGGGACGTACTGAAACAAGAAGAGGCGGCATGGAATCTGGGGAGATATCATGGCCCCCGCCATGGTACCCCCCCGCCCGCGGTCGTCACCCCCTCCTGGCCGCCCCCCCGTAGATGGGGGGAGGGTAGGAGGAGGAGGAGGAGGAGGAGGAGGAGGAGGAGGAGGAGAGGAGAGAGGAGGAGGAGGAGGAGGGGAGGAGGAGGAGGAGGAGGAGGAGGAGAGGAGGAGGAGGAGGAGGAGGAGGAGGAGGAGGAGGAGGAGGAGGAGGAGGAGGAGGAGGAGGGAGGAGGAGAGGAGGAGGAGGAGGAGGAGGAGGAGGAGGAGGAGGAGGAGGAGGAGGAGGAGGAGGAGGAGGAGGAGGAGGAGGAGGAGGAGGGAGGAGGAGGAGGAGGAGGAGGAGGAGGAGGAGGAGGAGGAGGAGGAGGAGGAGGAGGAGGAGGAGGAGGAGGATCGCGCCGCATTGCCGATGCAACGGTGACGCCATCGCGCCTGCCCCCGGGCACTGCGGCGGTCCACGGCGCGCCCAGGGGTTCTCGAGGTCTTCGGGGTGCTCGGCAAGTGCTCGTCGATGCTCTCACGGGCAGCGAGCGCGACCGCATCCGGGCCCTCGCGGTCTGGATTCCGGGGCGCGCTCCCGCGGTCGCACGTCGCGCGGACACGCTCCGCGCGCGGCATCTGCGAAAAAGTGCCCCGCATCCCCGGGGTCGCAGCCCGTGGGCCCAGCCCGCGAGGCCACAGACACGAAGACGTTCTTCGCCCACGGGTCTCTGAGCCGTGCTTTGGCGGCGCGCAAGAGGGGGGTGGGGGGGGGGGGAAGGCTCTTAGAAGCACCCTGATTCTTAGAAGGCTCCGCGGCCTTATCGTCTATAGAGAAGGCCCGCGCCTTCTGAGAAGCAGGGGTGCTTCTAAGAAGCCTTCCCCCCCCCCCCCTCCCCCCCCCTGCGCGTGGCCGAGTGCTTCCGGCCGCGAAGTGCTCTCCAACAGCGGCGCCTCGCCGAGAGCGCTGCAGGACCGCACCCGGCCGTGGCCCCGGCCGTGGCCCCGGCCGTGGCCCCGGCCCTGGGGATGCCAGAAGGGGGCCCCAGGGTCCCAGGGGAGGTTTCGGGCCGGGCGAAAGGGGGGGATAGCAAAGGGGGGGGTTGAGAATCAGCTCGCGTAGCTGATTTTCCCGGCGCCTCCCGGCGCCGGAGGCGGCTGTGTATCGAGGAATGGGCCCCTCGGTGGGGCCGAAACCAGCTGCATGCAGCAAACTTCGTAACCCCCCCTTTCCCTATCCCCCCCTTTCGTCCGGCCCGAAGGTTCTGTCTTCAGGGTCGGCGGCACCAGCCGCAAGGCCTCCAGAATATACCCCGTTGCTTGGTAGACCAAGCATGGAGAGCCATCGTCCGAATACTACCTCTACAAACGGCGCTGCAATATGCAATCAAATGCACTGTCCATGCATATTGCGCCATCGTCCGAGTCTCTGCAAACGACGCTGCAATACCCAACCAAATGCACTTTCCATGCAAATTGCGGGCCCACCACAACACACATTGGCAAGCCCGTGAGCACTGAAACAATGGGCACGAGGCCCAACAGCAAATCTTGTCCAAAACTGACTGCGGCCACAGTTGGACAGGCGACCATTTGTCAAACTTTGCAGCACTGGCAGAAGCATTGGAGGCGAATCAGGACACATTGAGGTCGCCCCCATCGGCAACGTATAATCAAATCGATCACGTCCGCAGGAACACCGACAGCGAATCCTTCTAACAATAAGAAAGGGCTGCTGTCAATCTTCGTCGCCTAACTTCCTCTACCTGGTCCGGCCGTGCCGAACTCGGCGGCAACAGCTGGGGTGCCGATTGACTCCGACGGCCGTCGCAATCACTGGGCCCTCCTGCCACCCTCGAGCCAGGATTAGGTCGGACGTGTCGTCCTACAGGCGGATTTTGAACGACAAATGGAAAATAGTCAACAAATAATCAAGACCCCGTGGGAAAGCAGATGGTGCCGATATCCCAGACCCCCTCGCGTTGTGAAAGAATCACGACGGGAGGTCTCTCGCTGCTTTCGGCCTCGGGGGGCCCCTACCAGGCCTCTGGACCATCAAAGGATGACTCGGGATGAAGAACTGGCCCCGGGGAGGGGGTCGAGACTTCTGGGGGTCGACGCTATGAACAAATCATTCGTCGGGGGTCTGGGATCCGGGGGCGGCCAAGAGGGGGGCGTCTAAGAGAAGGGGGGGGTGGGGCGCAAATCATGGCCCGCGGCATGTGTGCGGCCCAAAAGGGGGAGCCACGGAACGCACTGAAATAAAGAGAAGGGCCATGAAATCTGGCGAGACATCATGGCCCTGGCCGCCCTGGCCACGATGTCCCGCCCCTCTCCTCCTCCTCCTCCTCCTCCTCCTCCTCCTCCTCCTCCTCCTCCTCCTCTCCTCCTCCTCCTCCTCCTCCTCCTCCTCCTCCTCCTTTCCTCCTCCTTATCCTCACCCCTCCCTCCTCCTCCTCCTCCTCCTCCTCCTCCTCCTCCCTTCCTCCTCCTCCTCCTCCTCCTCTCCTCACTCCTCCTCCTCCTCCTCGTCCTCCTCCCCGTCCTCCTCCTCGTCCTCCTCCTCCTGCCTCCTCCTCCTGCCTCCTCCTCCTCCTCGTCGTCGTCGTCGTCCTCCTCCTCCTTCTCCTCCTTATGGCCCCCCCCCTCTTGGCCGCTCCCGATGGATGCCGCTTCTCCGCAGACCTCTCCCGGGATGCCGTTCCGACCAAGGCTTCGGAGCGCAGCCAGCGATGGCGACGAGGGGCCTCACCCAGCAAGGCCCCCTCGAGGCGAGCACGCGGCGGCGAGGGCGGCTGCATCGGTGCCTTGCCCTCCTCCATTCTGAAGTCGGGCGTGTCCCCCTACAGGGGGATTTCCGACGAAACATAAACATACAAAAAGAATATTCCAAAATGGTCAGAACATGCAGCGACGAGCGAGGTAAAAGGCAGGGGGGAAGGGAGGGACGGGAAGGAAGGAAGGAAAAGGAAAAGGAAGGAAGGAGACGCGCGAGCAGTGCCCTATTCAAAACGAGAACCCAACGCAGGAGGGTTGGGAAATACCAGCAAATCTTCCAAACTGGTCAGCACATGCTTAAACATTAGTCCCCGTACTATTTGTTTATACTATTTTTGGATTGTCCTCCTGTAGAGGGACGGGCCCGATCCAACTCCAGCCGGGGGGTGCTGCAGGTGGCCCTGGCCCAAGGCGCCCCTGGCTTGTCCCTCAGTTTGGGAGCCCCTGGGGCCCTCTGGGCCTCGTGAGGGGGTGCTCCTCCTCCTCCTCCTCCTCCTCCTCCTCCTCCTCCTCCTCCACCTCCTCCTCCTCCTCCTCCTCCTCCTCCTGTTCATTATCTACCTCCTCCTCCTCCTCCTCCTCCTCCTCCTCCTCCTCTGCAGTCCTGGGGGCACCTCGGGCCACGGGCACTCCTAGCAGCACCCGATCAACTGGCCATCGCTCGGACGCCCGTTCCCTGTGCCATGTTTTGGTTTCGTGCGTGGCTTTTTCGCCAAGTGATCCAGGATGCTCCTCGACGGTCCTCGCCGAAGGAAAAATGCACACGTCCGAACGATGCCAAGTCAAAGGCAATGCCATCGGGACCCGTCGGCGGTTCAGCACCGCCCCTGGGCGGCGGCCAGCACGGGGGGGGCCACGGCACCGGCCGGGAAGCTCTCGTTGAGGGCCGCCTGAAGCTTGACGAGGGTGGAGCCGCCTCGCCGCTGGCGGGGAGGGTGGCGGCCGACAGGGGACGTCGGTGATGAGATCGAGCCTCGTGCATCCAGGCATGTATGGGTGCATCCTCGAGGCGCCACAGCCAGACGTGCTTGCGTCGTGGGAAGCACGACGGGAAGATATTGGTTTTTAGCTGGTTTCGGCCTGCAAGGGTCCTCGCTGGGCCCCAAGACCGTCACAGAGCGACCCGGGATGACAAGGATGTCCTGGGAAAGGGTCTAGGCCTCTGGGGGCCTACCTGTGGAGAGATCACATATTCTTCGAGGTACCGCAAATCTATTGACATTCCTCGGGTATCTAGAGCTTGGGAATCAATCCAGGGGTGCCTGCGGGGGGGGGTATTGCTCGCGGCACTGGCTGTAGCAGAGCGGACGGCAAGGACTCCTGGCAGCGAGACGATCCTCCACCCCATGCCTCCCCTCTGGAAAGAGCAGGCGGAGAGGAGGACCATCTCACGGTAAATCCACAGACCCTGTCGCCGCGTGGAATGCGTTGTTCGTCGTGGTTGTTGTCCTCGAACGTGCTCGTCGTCTTCTTTTCTGGGTCCGTCGCCGCTCCCCCCCTCTTTCCCTGGGCCCTCGTCCTCAAGCGCGCCAGCCAAAGCAAAATGAAGCAACCCAGCCCAAACGAAATTAACAACGTTGTCATTGAGTCGAAGGGGAGCCCCTTCCCTTTGATCCCTTCCCCGCCGGGGGGGGAGGGTCCCGGGGGGGGGGTCCCAGGGTCCCAGGGGGGGTCCAGGGTCAAACTCCTCCTCCTCCTCCTCCTCCTCCTCCTCCTCTTCCTCCTCCTTTTCCTCCTCCGCATTCCTCTCGCTGCTCCCCCACTCCTCCTCCTCCTCCTCCTCCTCCTCATCGTCCTCCTCCTCCTGCTCCTCCTTCTCATCCTTCCCCACTCCTCCTCCCTCATCCGCCTCCTCCACCCTTCCTCTTCCCCCCCCCACTTCTCCTCCTCCTCCTCCTCCTCCGCCTCCTACACACCCCCGCTCGCGTCCATCTTCGTCGTCGTCAGGGTCGGCGGTACCGGCCGCAAGGCCTTCGCAAGATGTTGGGGGGAGCCTGCGGGAAAGAGGCAGGTACTTCTCGAAGGAGGAATGCGGGTCCGCCCAGTCCAAGTCCGCTCAAATTCCGTCGCCGGGGGCGCTGCCCCAGGGCGGCTGGAAAGTTCATACTTTTTGACGTGTCACCGTGAAGGTCTAAATTTTCCAGCCGCCCTGGGACACGCGCCCCCGACAGCGAAACAATTTATGATTGTATACTCCAGATTTCGTAATCAAAGGGAGGGGGTTTCAACCCTCCCAGACGAGAAGTTTTATACCCCCCCCCGTGGGAGAACCCTCCAAAACATCGTCACCAGACCCCCCCAGGCCCTCCAAGATAGCCCGGAAGAGAGCCCCCCCGGAATGAGACCCCCCCTCCCTTTCTTACGAAATCTGGAGTGCCGTTCTTCGCCCGTGAAAGGTTCTGTGCCACGACCCCGCCGGGGGTCCACCCGTGGCCACAGAGGCCCACCTGCCTCGCCTGGCCCTCCTCTAGGGCTCCCAACTTCGCGCTTCGCGCTGCGCGAAGCGCGAAGCGCGAATAACTTCGCGCTCTCGCGCCGCCCTCCCAGAAGGAGAATAGGAGGACGAGGAGGAGGGGGAGAAGGAACGAGGACCGCGAAGCGCGAATAACTTCGCGCCCTCGAGGGAGCCCTTGCTCCTGCGGTCGAGAACGCTGCCTCGGCGTGCCGCGGCGGCGGCCCCGCCGACGAGCCACGCCCTGCAGGCGGGCCACGTCTCGCCCCGCTCCGCGGGGCGACAGGCAGACAGAGAAGCCGCGCCCAGACGTCTGGGCGCGGCTTCTCTGTCTGCAGACGGCGCACTGGCAAGAGAAGTGCGGCAGGTGATGGCGTAGCCAGGCACATGCAGAAATAGCCAAAATGATGGACTGCGCTGCAGGCGGCTCGGTGGCACACCATTGGCAAACTCTGTACCGCTCCGCGGGGCGGGGGGCCGGCAACAGCTCGGGGCTGGGCGAGAGGGAAAGGTCTCCGATTTAGGGGCTGGGGTTACTCGAAGGGGTCCCCCGACGGGGGGGGGCGCGGGAACTACACAAAGCCTTCGGGCAGTGGGGTCTCCGCCGTTTGAGGCCGGCGGCCAAGAGGGGGTGGTGCCGGTGGCAGTGCCTCGGGGTGGCATCTCGAGGCACCTCGCAACGGCGGCGCAGATATGACTCCTGGAGCGTGTCTGGGCTGCCACTCCTGTTGCGAGCTCCGACTGCAGGCACCTTGGGCACCTCCCTTCGGGATGTGTCGCTCAGGTTTTCTGTCCGGGCAAAGAAAAAGCATCCCTGGCGGGGGCCCGCACTAGAGGTCACTGTGGCGAAGGGTCACTCTGGAAGTGGCAAGAATCGCCCCACCCCACCCCCCGTGATCCACTGGGGGCGGAATGGCACGTGCTGTCGGATCAGGCGGGGGGGCACGTGCTGTCGGAACAACAGGAGGGTAGGATGAGGAAGAGACTGCGGAGAAGGAGGAGGAGGAGGAGGAGAACCAGTGCAACCTCCCAAGACTCATCAACGATATTGCAATTCACCCTCACTGTAAAATTCATGTTCATAGATCCCTACAAGGATTCATTATCATTGAGGGAAGTGCCCCGTTGGAAGACAACACATTGAAAATCCTGGGCCGTGCCAGGACACCATTCCTGGGACTGCAACGCCGCGGATGAACATTGCTTCTGCGTCCTGACGGTACCGAACCGTGCCAGAACACCGTTAACTGTTCGGCCCCGACAGTCCTACGCCGTGCCATCACACCACATCTGGGACGTCAGCCATGAGAACCCTTGAAGCTGGTATCACCTCTTCAGACGGATGTGCGCGGCGCGAAGGCGAGAACCACATGTTGAACAGGTACCGCCCTCCATCCATGAGGGCTCAGACCCCCCCGCGTCGTGGCGACATCGCGACGGACATTTGTGTGCTGCCCACCCTGGGCCCCTGGGGGCCCTCGCCGGGCCCCGGGGCCGTCGGAAACGCCCCCAGGATGTGAAGAGCCGGGGGGGAATGGGTCGAGACCTCTGCGGGTCGACATCGCGAGCAAAAACACCACGACCGGGGCCTGGCTGAGGGGGGTTTGCAGCTCAGGGGGAGGGGGGGGGGCATCGAGCTCAGAGCTTAGATCGGCGATGCGTCGCCGACGCATCGCTCCTGGGCGGGGCGGGCGGTCAGGCACCCATCGGCGATGAGTGGGCGATTCTTGAGACTTCGCGTATCCCCAGAAAGGTTCGCACCGTTCCGCCGCCCTGGACGCCGCTTCCGCTCCTGGACGGTCGCCTGGGAGCCGCCAACCAAAAAAGTATCCCCAGAGGTTTGCGTGCAATTTGCCTGTTCCGCCGTCCCGGACACGCCTGTTGCCGCCAGACCGTTGTCGCGCGGCCGCCGGCCAGAAAAGAATCCCCAAAGGTTTTTTAGCCTCGCCCGTGGCCCGGACGTTGCCTTCGCCGCCTGACCCTTGTCTCGCGGCCGCGACCAAAAAAAGTATCCCCAAAGGCCCATCCATAGACAAATGCCAGGGGAAATGCTAGAAGAAGGGCAGCGTAGAGGCGTAGAAGCATGCAGTGGAGCGGGCCAAGCGTTCTGGGGGCGCAGGAACGATGAGTGGGTGACTCAGGGGTCGATGCGCCACCCCCTGAGCCTTTCTGCCCCCCCTCGTGTTGCCCGCCACTCCCCCCCCCCTTCCTCAGATGCTCGTTCTGGGGACCTTCCTGGAGCCACTCGCTCCAGGAGCCTCGTGGGTGGGGACCTTCCTGGAGCCACTCGCTCCTGGAGCCACTCGCTCCAGGAGCCTCGCGAGTAAACACTCCAGGTCTCGCGTTTCCTTGGCCCCCCCTTTCCTCAGATGCTCGTTCTGGGGACCTTCCTGGAGCCACTCGCTCCACTCGTGCGTCGCTGCTGCGTCGAACGTCCGTCGACTGGAGTCAACCTGAGAATCGAAACACACACTCGGGTCGAACAGATCCGCAGGGTGCCGAGAGATCTGGGCGCCAAGGCAAAACATGACAACGACGACGACGACGAGGACGACGACGACGACGTCGACGACGGCGACGAAGACGACGACGACGAAGACGACGACGACGACGACGACGAAGACGAGAACGAGGACGAGGACGAGGACCAGGACGACGACGACGACAACGTCGCGCCGCGGCGGCGGCCTTGGCCCTCCGTCGAGGCCACCCGCACCGTGGTGGCGTTGTGGCCTGCTGGCCGCAGCGGGCCATTCGGAGGCGCGCCAGGTCCTCCTCCTCCTCCTCCTCCTCCTCCTCCTCCTCCCTTATCCTCCGCCTTATCCCTCCTCCTCCCCCCCTTCCTTCCGCCCCTTGCCCTCCTGGTCCTACCGCCTCCTCCTCCTCCTCCTCCTCCTCCTCCTCCTCCTCCTCCTCCTCCTCCAGTGGGGTGGGGCCCCCCCCCCGCTGGAGCACGAGGAGTGGACGAGGGGCGGGGTATGCCCCTGGGAGCTGGAGACCGCAGACTGAGCCTACATATCCTCCCTATCGTTGCTCCTGATGGCGATGCTCGGACATGAAGGTCCGATCTTGTACCGTCCATGTGGTCTTTGCGCTCCTCCTCCCTTTCTTATCTTATATGGAAATAATAAGAAAAGCCTTAAACACATAAACTTGTGGCGCTCCGCGCGGATTTCTGGGGTTGGCGTTGGACCCCCTCCCTAGCGCGCGGGGCGCGCCAGGGGCGGGGCAGCGCCGGAGGCGCCGCCGGGAAGGCCCACCAACGCAGATCCAAGAAATCCGCGCGGAACGCCAAACGCTTTCGTTTATGGCGTATTTTCTTCGTCGAATCCCTCTGGCCTTCCCGCTCCCTCCCGCCAAAACGAAGCCAGGGCAGGGACAACATCAGACAGGGATACATCGGGCATCTCTGAGACTGGCCATCGCTCGGACGTCCATTTCCTGTGTTATTTCCGGTTTCGTCATCATTTTTTCGCTAAATGATCAAGGATGCTCCTCGATGGTCCTCGCCGAAGGAAAACTGCACACATCCGAGCGATGCCAAGGAAATCTGACAGTTCTGGAGGGCCTATCGAAGCGTGCCGGAACGCTCTGAAGGCGTTCTCGCACGCTCCGGAACGATGTCTCCCTGTCCTGGCCCGCACGGCTCCCTCCCTCCTTCCTTATCCTGCGTGGTTCAACCTCCCCGTCCCCCGCCGTCCGCGCCTTCGGTGGCCATCCTCGCAATAATCGTGTCCATGTCGGCGGTCTGGCGAGCGGCGAAGTGAGGAGGAGGAGGAGGAGGAGGGGGAGGACGACGAGAAGGAGAACGAGGAGGGGAAGGAGGGGGAGGAGGGGGAGGAGGAGGGGGAGGAGGAGGAGGAGGAGGAGGAGGAAGAGGAGGAGGAGGAGGAGGAGGAGGAGGGGGAGGAGAAGGAGGAGGATGGGGGAGGAGGAGGAGGAGGGGGGAGAAGGGGGAGGAGGAGGAGGGAAGAGGAGGAGGAGAAGGAGGAGGAGGAGGAGGGGAGAAGGAGGAGGAGGAGGAGAGAGATGAGGAGGAGGAGGAGCAGGAGGAGGAGGAGGATGAGGAGGAGGAGGAGGAGGATCATGAGAAGGAGGATCAGGAGGTGGTGGTCACTGCATAAGGGAAACAGAATCCCGAGCAGAGCAACACGCACCACGACCACGACGACGCCGACGACGACGACGACGGAGACGAGGCGCGCTTACGATCCGCACCGAAGCACGGATTTGGGAGGATCAGGAGAAGGAGGATAGGAGGAGGAGGAGGAGGAGGAGGAGGAGGAGGAGGAGGAGGAGGAGGAGGAGGAGGAGGGGGGGAGGAGGAGAAGGAGGAGGAGGAGGATCAGGAGGAGGAGGAGGAGGAGGAGGAGGAGGAGGAGGAGGAGGAGGGAGGAGGGGAGGCGGGGGAGGAGGGGAGGAGAGGCCGGGAAGCAATCCGAAGTACCTGTAGAGGCATGGCTGGCGATCCTTGCCCTGGAGGTCACGGCCCGAGGGCGCCCGCGCAGAGGGCAGAGGGCGGGTCTGGCGGGGCTCGCCAGCCACGCCTCTACAGGTGCTTCGGATTGCTTCCCGGCCTCTCCCCCCCATCCTCCTCCTCCTCCTCCTCCTCCTCCTCCTCCTCCTCCTCCTCCTCCTCCTCCTCCTCGGTGACATGCCCCTGGCGTGCGAGGGCGAAGAACAGGGAGCCGACCATGACATGAGCATGAAAAACTTGGAGGTCCGCGCAGAGTTCTCGGATCGGCGCTGGAGCTCCCTGGCGAAGCCTCCGGCGCCGCCCCTGGCGCGCCCCGCGCGCCAAGTAGGGGGGTCCAACGCCGATCCGAAAAATCCGCGCGGACCTTCGAGTCCTTCTGGTTATGTCATTGCTTGCTTCCCTAAAGCAGAAGGAGTGGAGGAGCCTGGCGGCGATGGAGGGGGCGCCAGCGCTCCGGAAGGGAGCGCCACGCGGAGCGGTGAGCCTGCGAGGAGGAGGTGAAGGAGGAGAAGGAGGAGGAGGAGGAGGAGGAGGGCAGGAGGAGAAGTATAGGAAAAAGAAACCTGCGCACACACACACACCGACTCTGGCCAGGCCCAGCCTGGGCCCAGGATCGGTGCACACGCCCTCTCCTGCCTTGGTCAGGAAGGCATATGCGCCGATCCTGGGGCGAAGATGGGCCTGGCCAAGATCGGTGCGTGTGCATATTTTTAGGTCGGGCGTGTCCTCCTACAGGGGGAGCTTGGGCGAAATATTAAAACTTATTCAACAAAAATGCCCCAACATAGTGAAACATACTCGAAACATCGTCCCCCGAGCATCTTCGTAGAATGTTTGAATACTTCTCCTGTAGAGGGACAGGCCCGACTTAAGCATGGTTGCCTTCGCCCGAAAAGAGGAGGGCTTCCCGCGGAGGGCCAGTGAGCACCCTCGGCGGATCTCTGGCGGCCTCGGCTGGAGCCAGGGACGGGCAGGCAGGGGCGAAGGGGAGCGACAATGTGCTGGCGGCGCACGGGGAGGTGGGAAACGGAGGCGGAACGCTACAGTCTCGGTGATCGCACCGAGGTCGGCCCTCGATCTCGGTATCTTGCACCCCTTTGGCGGTGCGAACGGCGCGACCATGGTGATTCGAACCTTTGGCCGAACATGGATCAGGTCGATAACTCGCCGTGCTGGGGGTAAATGCAACTCTCCCACTCTGGTATTACGAACGACCGCAAATATCAGCTGCGCTAAAAAAGCAGTTCGCCCCCCTGCCAGCCGGTACTCTGCCTGCCCTACTTGGCCCACGTAGTCCAACAGAGTTCATATAATCACTAGGATTATGTGAGTTGCGTGCCAGCCTCTGCTGACAGGCTCATTGCTTCATCAACGTCGAAATCCGAAACATCCATACCTGCCCCTGCCCTGTGCATGTCAACCATTTTGGCCCACCCATTAAGCGCCTGGTGACCTCATAAGGAGCTTCACCGAAGCCCACCGAGGGACCGTTCGCATGTGGGCGTCACGCCCGTTTCGGCACACTCCTTACACGTTTGGCTTGGCCCTGAGGAGTTTCTTCGAAGGCCCCAGAGGGAGCGTTCGCATGAGAGCATCACGCCCGTTTCGGCACACCCCTCACGCGCTTCGTGACCCCAGAAGGAGCTCCACCGAAGGCCCCGATGGCAAAGCCCGCATACGCCCCCCCGCCCCCAATGCCGGCATGCCCCTCGCGAGCTTCGTGGTCCCATGGTGAAATCCAACGAAGACCATACTCACAATTGCTGTACTCACAGCTGCACATGGTCGGGTCCTTCGCCAAGAGAATTTCCCCAACCATCCTGTAGTAGTCTTGAGTCCTCGCTTTGAAGAGACAAAGCCCCACATCTCCTATCCTCCTCCTCCTCCTCCTCCTCCTCCTCCCCCTCCTCCTCGCACTCCTCATCCTCCTCCTCCTCCTCCCCTTCCTCCTCCTCCTCCTCCCCCTCCTCCTCCTCCTCCTCCTCCTCCTCCTCCTCCTCCTCCTCCTCGCTCTCCTCCCACCGCCTCTTGTTTCCCCCCCCCTGGGTCCTACGACGTGATGACACGTTTTTTGGTTTTCGGGGACGCGCCAGGGTACGCGGCCGAGGGAGACACCCGCACCGCAGCCTGGCGCCGCCCTCTCGAGGGAAAAGCGCCCAGCGCTGCCGATGCGCGGGAATCCGGCGCCACGCCCGCCGCCGCGGGGCGACACAGGGGCCCGGAGATGAGGAGGAGGAGGAGGAGGAGGAGGAGGAGAGAAGGGAGGGAGGGAGGGAGGGAGAGTGAGGAGGAGAAGGAGCGGAAGGGGAGGAGGAGGAGGAGGAGGAGGAGGAGGAGGAGAAGATGAAGAAGGACGAGGAGGAGGATGGGAAGGAAGAGGAGGCGGACGAGGAGGGGGACGAGGAGGAGGCGGATGATGATGGTGATGATGATGATGATGACGATGACGATGATGATGATGATGCTGATGATGATGATGATGATGCTGATGATGATGCTTATGAGGATGATGATGCTGATGATGATGCTGCTGATGATGATGGTGATGATGATAATGATGATGACGATGACGATGACGATGACGATGATGATGATGATGATGATGATGATGATGATGATGATGATGATGATGATGATGATGATGACAACCGAGCCACCTGAAACGCGAAACCATAACATGACAAATTAGGCATTCACGGCCCGCGCCCCCAGCGGCCTAGCGCCTGGCACCGCCGCCAGGAGCAGGTCGGCGAAGCGCGCCACGAGCGCGCTGGACACCCGCGAGGCGATCTGCCGTGCACAGTCGGCACCCTGCTGCCCACCCGGCTCGCCGGGCAGCGTCGCCACGCGGCGGGCCGCCGGGCATGATGGTGATGATGATGATGATGATGATGATGATGATGATGATGATGATGATGATGATGATGATGGTGGTGGTGGTGGTGGTGGTGGTGGTGATGATGATGATGATGATGATGATGATGATGATGATGATGATGATGATGATGATGTGACGAGGAGGAGGAGGAGGAGGAGGAGGAGGAAGAACGAATCTCCGGGCAACATCACCCGAACGCGCGGGAACGTCGGTTCCGCGCCCCGGAGTCCAGGGGCGGACAGCGCGAGTCACTGGTGAGGCATCGCTGACAGCTCCACGCTCTTCTGCTCGGCGCCCAGAGCTGCGGTTGGCTTCGGCCTTTCGCCTCGCCTCGTACTTCTCCGCCGTTGCCTGCTGGGGTCAGAAGCGGAGACGGCGTCCTCGCCGTCAGAGCCCGAGCCGTCGCTGACGTCGAACTGGTTCTCGTCCGCCATGCTGTCCCCGCAGCGGTTTTCCAGGAAATTGAAGACGATCCATGCCTGCAGCAGATCCATGACGCCGCAGAAGACCAACAAGACCTGGAAGATGAGTATGCCCGCTACGCACCACTCCCTGGTCCCCTGGTCCCTCACCCGCCAGGCGCGGAATGGGTCTTTCTGGAGCCACAGCGTGCGCCGCATATCAGGATCGTCGTCGCCGCCCACCTCCATACCCTCCTCCTCCTTCACGGGCCAAGCCTGCCCACGGACCATGCAACCTATGACCTCCCAGTCCCCCTCGGCGCCTCCCGGGACGCGCGCCACCTGGAACCTCAGGACCATGCAGTAGTAAGTGAACACGCATCTCCACATCTGCCTCCAGAGGGTCTCCACCAGCTGGGACTTCCGCAGGAAGACGGTGCTGATATCCTGATGCTCGAGCATCTCCATCTCACGGAGGAAGCGGGCCCCCTCCTCCTTCGAGGCGGTGGCTCTGATCGAGCGGCAGGACAGTGGCTGCTCGTCCTGGAACCACCGCGACCTCCAGCCAATGCCAGTGCCTGTGACGGTGAAGTAATCGAAGACGTTCTCTGCCTTCTCGTACTCCACGCCGAGCGCGCACTCGTCAACGATCACGGTGAGAAAGCCGTCAGCGTCCTCGCCACCGCCTAGCCTCCGCTGGAGCCCCACCGTCCCGGCCGCCGCGGGCTCGTGCTCCCGCGGGGCCTCCGGCGGAAAGCAGCAGCGCTCGTAACTGTACACGCCCTCCCAGCACTCCGCGCTCCCACCGACCCCCAGCTTCGCATCGCAGCACCTGGGGTAACCAAAAGGCGCCGATGCCGCTACTCCCGGGACCTCTCCCGGGGTGCGCTCTGACCAGAATCTCGAGGCGACTCCAGCGGTGGCGATGAGGGCCTCCCAGGAGGCCCAAAACCGCGCAAAAGAGGCCAGGGTAGCAGAATGGGTACGTCTTGGTCCTCTGAGCACCTGTCGAAGCTGTAGCCGTCCACCCAACACTCGGGGTTCCCCTGGTGGGACTCGGCCGGAGCCGGCACCGGGGCCTCGTCGGGGGCGTCCAAGAGGGGGGCGTCCAAGAAGGGAGGGGGGGCAAATCATGGCACGAGGCATGTGCGCGGCCCAAGAAGAGTCGCCATGAAAACTGGGGAAATATCATGGCCCCCGCCATGGCATCCACCCTCCCCTAGTCGTCACCCCCCTCTTTGCCACCCCCAAGCCTCGGTGGGGGCCCGCGTGGCGCTGGCCGGGGGCCAGCTCTCTGGCCTCCCCCATGGGTTCAGCCACCTGTCGTTCCTGCTCTGAGCGAAGTTGTTCAGGGCCGCGCACTGGACGAAGTCGGTGCACCTGCACTCCACCAGCCACACGGGAAAGAACATCAGGACAACGATCGGCACGGACAGCAAGCACATGCCGAAATATATCTTCGTCAGCTGCACCCCTCTCGTGAATGCCGCGTAGAATCCCTGGACGCCGGACCCAGACCGCACCACAGCAAGGAAAACGAGAAAGATGTAGTCCAAGTTCAGGGTCTGCGAGACCGCGTGCCTTTTGTAGAAGAAACTCACCATCATCGCCCCCGTGACGGCATGCGAAGCGGCGATGGTGCATACCACCTTCTGCCTCGCGAGTCGGCCCGAGAGCGACGCAGCCGAGTTCGACACCATTGCCCGCACCTGGATCACTTGCCGCACCGCCCAGAGCCGCCGCAACCAGCGGCGGCATCTGTCGCACCGCATGGCCGCCGCCGACTGCCGCGGGCCTCGGCCGAATTCCAAAAGCTCCGCTGGGCTGGGCAGGCAAGTGACCGCCAGGCGGCGCCCGGCGCGCGGCAACTCGCGCGCGCGCGCGCCGGGCGCGCGGAGGGCCCGACGCGAGGCCGCGGCGGCGCTGCGCGCGGGCTGGAGCCAGAACGGCTGTGGACCATTCGGGGACCGTCCTGGGCGTCTGGAGACCATCCCGGCCTCTCAGAAGCGTTCTGGGCACGGCTGGCGAGATCGGGAAGAGGTGAGGATGAGGATTCAAGCGGGGCGTCCCTCGTCTCTTCCCGCGCTGTCCGCTTCCCACTCGCAGCCTCGTCGGGGCCCTGTGAAGAGGCTCAGGTGGGACTGGCACCAGCAAACAGGGTGTGACCTCGCGTGCGCGACTTGGCCAATGAAGAAAAGAACGCGTAGGAGGAGTAATAGGAGCAGGAGCTAACAGCGTCACGACAGGGAGCCCTTTTGGGTCGTCTCGGGGCTCTGTGGAGCCGCCTTGGGGCCCGCTGGGGCCGTCGTGGGGGGGCGTGGGCTCCCTTGGGGCCCTCCTGGGGCTCCCTTGGGCTCCCTCGGGGACCGACCGTGGCCCTCTTTGGGGCGCTCCTGGAGTCCTCCTCCTCCTCCTCTCCTCCTCCTCCTCCTCCTCAGTCCTCCTCCTCCTCCTCCTCCTCCTCCTCCTCCTCCTCCTCCTCCTCCTCCTCTTGGGCCTTCTTTACGGGAACAAGAAGTGGAAACATTACCCTGGCGACGTACCCAACCCCTGCGCAGTGCGGCTCAGATCTGCGCGGTGCCTCACTCCGCTGGCCCCACCAGCAGCCCGCGAAAGTGGCGACAGTGTCGCAGATCGCAGCCCCCCAGGCACGGCGAGGTCTACCTCAGATTTGCGCGGTGCCTCACTCCGCAGGACCCACCAGCAGCCCGCGAAAGTGGCGACAGCTTCGCAGATCGCAGCCCCCCAGGCACGGCGAGGACTACCTCAGATCTGCGCGGTGCCTCACTCCGCAGGACCCACCAGCAGCCCGCGAAAGTGGCGACAGTTTCGCAGATCGCAGCCCCCCAGGGACGGCGAGGTCTACCTCAGATCTGCGCGGTGCCTCACTCCGCAGGACCCATCAGCAGACCTCGAAAGTGGCGATAGCTTCGCAGATCGCAGCCCCCCAGGGACGGCGAGGTCTACCTCAGATCTGCGCGGTGCCTCACTCCGCAGGACCCGCCAGCAGCCCGCGAAAGTGGCGACAGCTTCGCAGATCGCAGCCCCCCAGGGACGGCGAGGTCTACCTCAGATCTGCGCGGTGCTTACTCCGCAGGACCCACCAGCAGCACTCGAAAGTGGCGACAGTGTCGCAGATCGCAGTCCCCCAGGGACGGCGAGGTCTACCTCAGATCTGCGCGGTGTCTCACTCCGCAGGACCGACCAGCAGCCCGCGAAAGTGGCGACAGTTTCGCAGATCGCAGCCCCCAAGGGACGGCGAGGTCTACCTCAGATCTGCGCGGCGCCTCACTCCGCAGGACCCATCAGCAGACCTCCAAAGCGGCGACAGCGTCGCAGATCGCAATCCCCCAGGGACGGCGAGGTCTACCTCAGATCTGCGTGGTGCCTCACTCCGCAGGACCCACCAGCAGCCCTCGAAAGTGACGACAGTTTCGCAGATCGCAACCCCCCAGGGACGGCGAGGTCTACCTCGGATCTGCGCGGTGCCTCACTCCGCAGGACCCACCAGCAGCCCTCGAAAGTGGCGACAGCTTCGCAGATCGCAGCCCCCCAGGACGGCGAGGTCCCGCTCAGATCTGCGCGGCGCCTCACTCCGCAGGACCCACCAGCAGCCCTCGAAAGTGGCGACAGTGTCGCAGATCGCAGCCCCCCAGGACGGCGAGGTCTCGCTCAGATCTGCGCGGCGCCTCACTCCGCAGGACCCACCAGCAGCCCTCGAAAGTGGCGACAGCTTCGCAGATCGCAGCCCCCCAGGGACGGCGAGGTCTATCTCAGATCTGCGCGGTGCCCCACTCCGCAGGACCCACCAGCAGCCCTCGAGAGTGGCAACAGTTTCGCAGATCGCAGCCCCCCAGGGACGGCGAGGTCTACCTCAGATCTGCGTGGCGCCTCACTCCGCAGGACCCACCAGCAGCCCTCGAAAGTGACGACAGTTTCGCAGATCGCAGCCCCCCCGGGACGGCGAGGTCTACCTCAGATCTGCGCGGTGCCTCACTCCGCAGGACCCACCAGCCGGCCTCGAAAGCGGCGACAGTTTCGCAGATCGCAGCCCCCCAGCGACGGCGAAGAGGGCAGGAGGCGGCAGGAGGCGGGAGGCTTGAGGAGGAGGACAAGGAGAGACGCGACCACACCCCTCTATTCAAAACGAATACCCAACCAAGGAGGGTTGGGAATAAAAGCTCAGAGGTCCGCGCGGATTTCTCGGATCAGCGCTGGACCCCCCTCCCTGGCGCGCGGAGCGCGCCAGGGGCGGCGCCAGAGGCGCCGCCAGGGGGGCCCAGCGCCGATCCGAGAAATCCGCGCGGACCTCCGAGTTTTTATGTTTATGTCACTTGTTGTTCCCCTATTCTTGGGCTTTATTGGGAGTCTCTTGGGCAGTCTTGAGGCAATCCTGGGGGTCCCGTGGGCCTTCTGGGACGCTGTACAAGCAAAGACACATGCTGAGCATGCACATTTCCAGACAGGGAATGGATGGTGTTTAGCTCTGGAGGTTCTCTTGGGGGCCTCTCGGGGCGTCATGGAAGCCTCTTCGGCCGCTTGTGGACCGTCTGGGACCGTCTGGAAGACATCCTGGCTCTCTCGGATAGAGGCCTCCTAGATAGGGTCGGAATAGATGGGGTCGGAGGATCGCGCCGCATCGACGATACATCGGCGATGCATCGGCGATGCATCGGCGATGCATCGGGGATGCATCGGCGACATCGGCGATACATCGGTTACGCCAGTGGAGAAAATCGGGCTCCACATCGAGCCGCATCAGCGATGCATCGGCGATGAAGCGCGTTTCTCCGACCCCATTTACTCCGACCCCATCTAGGAGGCCTAGATCGGAGTCGTCCTGGAAATCATCTCGGATCGTTCTGGGCCATGTTGCGGCTTCCCGAGGCCGCCCGTGAGACGCAAGCGGACGAATGCCGCCCGCTGCTGCCGGCTTTCCGCCTATGCTACGTCCGGTGGCAGATTTCGAGGTGTACCCCCCCTGACCCCCCACAAGGGAGTACTAAACGGAAGCCCCTACGCGCGCCAGGGGCGGCGCCAGAGGCGCCGACAGGGGGGCCAAGCGCCGACCCAGGAAATCCTCATGGAGCTTAGAAGGTTTCTGTGCACGCGCTGCTCTTCTCAGCCCAGAGCACAGCGCGGAAGGATGCCTCGAAGGCCGTGGCCAAACGCCGCACGCCGCACGCTCGAGAGGTATCTGACCGTGCGTATGCCCTTCAAAGGGTGCAGTGCTCCCACCTGGCTGGAGACGGCCCCCCAGAACATCACCTGAGCTGTGACTGCCTGCCAGACCACCCCAACCCAACCCGAAGACCCGAATGTGACCCGAATTTCGGGTTGGGGGGGGTACGGGTTCCATGTGTTTTCTCGACGTTCCCCGACCCCCCCCCCACTGGAAATGGAGGGCAAAGTGAGGCCTTCGGGTTGGGTTGGGGTGGTCTGGTAGGTGGTGGAGATGAGCGTCGAGGAACTGCCCGGCACGGAGCGTGCGACAGACGCTGGCGTGTCGAGCAGGAAGGGCCGACGCTGGCAGCCAGAGGGCAGGCCAACCAACCGTTGCGGAGCTTGGGGAGAGGAGGGGACACCAGAGGAGCGCAATCATCGGTTGGGGCGCCCCATAGGGAGGCACCAACTATACACCAACGCCGATCCTGGCCAGGATCGACCTGGGCCCAGGATCGGTGTATATGCCCTCCTGCCATGGACAGAATGCATATACACCGATCCTGGGCCTAGGATCGGCCTGGGCTGGATCGGTGTAGGTGTATAGTTGGTGCCCTCCGACCCAAGAAAACAGAGAGGGTCAGAATTCTCACAAGGCTCGGAAGGCCACTTGCCTTATGAGGAACTTGCTGAGCCTTCGCCCAAGACAGAGACAGCTTCTAAGAAGGCATCAGGGCATCTGAAAACCCCCGCGCCTTGTGAGAAGGCCAGCCACCACAAACTTCCCCCCTCGGCGCGCCGCCTAAATACGCAGCTGGAGTGGAAAGGGCGCTAGGGCCAGGCAGGCTAAAGGCTGTTCGAGCGTGAAACAAGAAGAGTCCGAACCGAACTGGTAACCGTGAACCGGCGGCTCCTGCAACCGAACCGACCGAACCGGAGCCCGAACCGGACTGGCTGAAACCGGACCGGGCGGTTCGAACCGAACCGGCCGGTCGAAACCGGCCCGAACGGCAAGCCCGAACCGGATGGAACCAAACCGGGCCCCGGGACTCCCCACCGGCCCGGGGGGTGCCGGCACCCCAACCCCCGGTGCCGGCCCCCCCCCCCCCCGGTGCCGG